GGGCCTTCGCACTGAGCTACATCCACAGCCCTCTTTAAATGCTTTCTTTCTCAAATTTTGAGACAGGGTCTCACTCAGTCACTAAATTGGCCAGGTTGGGCTTTAACTTGCTATTCTCCTGTCTCAGCATCCCAGAGTGCTGAGATTGCAGATGTGTGCCAGTGTGCCCACCACATTCTTTTCATCTGTCCACTGATTCTGGGTCAAGTTCAGGCCATACAATCTTGGGCTAGGGGACTCCAGCCCCAGGACACTTGTGTCTAAGCAGGATGGTAATTCCTGTCATACAGGCTCTCCTCGGATTCACAGAGCAGGAGCTGGGACACTTGGTTCTTTCCCTGTCTGGACCTGGACAAAGTTACTCACAGTAAGTCACTATTTCTGCAGAACCCTCTCCATCCTGGGGAGATGCTGAGGTTGTCTCTATGCCACACCCTGGTGTCACTTTGGGAGAGCATCTTCACAGACTTCCTTCTCTGTGCAGTGAAATTTTGCTCAATGTACAACTCTGGGAACTGGTTGCCTCCCATCTTGGCCCCAGCCACAACTCAGCTTTGACTGAATTTTAGGAGATGCACCTGCTGTTGATCATATTCCTTAAAAAGTATTTACAAACTATGCTGGGCAGCCTGCTGGTATTGTTTATGGACATCTGTTTTTTTTTTTTTTTTTTGTACTGGGAATTGAACTCAGGACCCTTATGCTTGCCAGGCAGGTGCTGTGCTGCTGAGCCATATCCCTGGCCCTGTGAGCATCTTTCTATCTGTGGTTAGTGAAAGGGCAGGGTTGGCTGGTCCCCCTGGATCCCAGCTGGCCTCCTCCTGACCAGCTCTGGACAAGGCAATCTTGGCTTTGTGGTATCTTCTCTGGAAGAGGAATGGTAAGGCGAACATCAGATCTCTTGCTTTGTTTTGATTGCCAGTGCACTTTTCATGCAAATACCAGATGACCTGAACACATGGTTTAGGGGCGTAAGGAACAGTTTATGTTCTTGGGTGAGAAGTTGGAAGGTGGAAGGGTTTAGAGTTGACTGATTTAGGGGCTCAAGGAACCACGCCTTGTCTCTGTTTCCCCACAGCCATCTCAGCGGGTGAGTGTATTCTGCTTACAGAGTGGCTGCAATACCTGTAAACATCATGGACTGATCTCATGAAATCCCCTGAAGCAGGGTGGCATTTTCCTCTTTTTTTTTTTTTTTTAATCACTGAGGAAGCTCTCCCTTGCAGACTCGTAAGTCTCTGTGTGTTGGTCTGAGTCCCTTAGATCCCTTGGCCTCAGAGGAAAGTACTGACACATTGTTTGGGAAGTCACATCTAGGGAGGTGAGGACACGGGAACACAAAGAGTAGAGCAGGGCCAACAAACATGTGACACAGTGATTCTGCACTGGATTCTCCTGGTGGACACAGGTGAGAGGCCACAAGCCCAGACTGTTCAGAGATTAATTTCCTGTTGTTTCTGACCTGACACAGTTCTGTCCCCTCGGGAGGCCCTGTCATTAGTGGTCAAGGAAGGTGTGTTGGAATCAAAGTCTGGAGTTCAGCCCCTCCCTAGCTCCTTTGTGACTAGCATGCCCCGGGAAGACTGCATTAATACTTGGAAGTACTTAGCGCAGCACCCAGCAGCCAGCATCCTGTCAGTGTCTGATTCACCAGGGTGATAGTGCAGACTTGGGCCATGATTCAGCTCCTGAGGCCTGGCTCCGTCTCCAAGAGGCAAGCTCTGCACTCTGATTTCTGGAATGTAGGGCTCCATGACGTGTGATGAACGTTAGCCTCTCTGTGTTGATCAGGCTGCAACTTCAGGGACACAGCACCCAAGAATGCCCTTCCTTCTCATTCATCGTCTCTCCCCCTTATTTTTGTCTATTTTTTGGAGCCAAGGTCTCATTAGCCTTGCAGGGCTGGAATCATGGCAATCTGCCTGCCTCAGCCTCCCAAGTGCTGAAATGACAGGTGTGCCCCACACTGCACTGGGTTGACTCTGGGCTTTTAAAGTCATCATCTGGAGGACCTCAGGGATCTGAGACTGTGGGCTGACAGCCTGTTGGTGACATCTTCCCAATGCTGTTTGCCATCCATCTTAAAAAATCCCTGCCACCCGTGGGTGGGAAAGACAGCCTGGGGGTTCTTCTGCTGCACCCCTGGCTTCCTGTGCTATGTTGAGACTGGAGATGGCTCCAGGAGAGGGATGTCTGGACAAGTGGGACTCTGCAGCTGGGCTCTTCTGCTTCATTTTATCCTGCAGGGCCAGGAGGGAGGTAGACACTGGGAACCCATGGCCTTAGGCGCCCACTCAGCCGGGTTCAGTCTCCGGCGCGGCCTCCCTGTTTGTCCATGTGTGTGTGTCTGTATGTGCCCTGCGGCTGCTGCTGACCTCCTCTCTGTTCTCATGCAGCTCCTGTGCCCTGGCCAGGGTGAGTACTGAACCCTCCTCCCTGTCCCGCCCCCTGCTGCTCAGTGTGGGCATCTGGAGAGTGACAGCCAACAGGAAAAGAGTAGTGGAAACCCCGTTCTCCACGTTTCTCTTTAGAAGTGGGGAAAGGGCAGGAGCAGCCCTGAAGGGAAACAGCAGCGAATGGTGCAACACCCACATGGATATTCTCTAACTGTGCTCCTGTGCTCTCAGGACTGGGAGTTTGGAGCCAGCCTGGACGAAAACCTCGTCTCTATTTTTTATTTTTTTTTTTGTTTTTGTCTTTTTGAAACAGTCTCGCTATGTAGTTCAGCTGGCCTTGGGCTCACTTTGTAGCCCAGGCGGGTCTTGAACTTGCAACGATTCCCTTGCTTCAGCCTCCCAAATGCTGGGATTACAGGCACATGCCACCATGCCTGGCTGAAAACCTTGTCTTTAAAACATGATTTTTCAGAACCAGGCATGGTGACACATGCTTGTCCTCCCAGTGCTTGGGAGGCTGAAGCAGGAGGATTGCATGAGCTTGAGGCCAGTCTGGACTATGTAGTGAGGCTCTGTCTCAGAAAACCAAAACAAAAAGTGATTTTTTCTGTTACTTTTTTCTTTTTGCTGACTATACCCATGGGTAGTTTAACATAATGACACAATCATTGGTTGTTTTAGGATTTTGTGTACTGTTTCCCCTACATATTGCTGTGCTGCTCTTGGTTGATCCCTTGCTTCATTAAAACAGGGATGAAGATTCTATGTCCCTCAACCTCTGGAGCTTGGGAAGTGGCCTTCTGTGTCCTTGGCTTCCACCCAGAGGGCTGGGCTGGGATGTAGCCCAGTGCTAGAGCCCCTGGATCTCATAAACAAACATGGCTCCTGGACGTGTGACCTGGAAGTCTACATTCCTGGTGCTGGCTGGAGCTAGTGCCTCCTGATCTTATAAGAAAAGGAAAGATGTAAGGACAGAATACTAAGTTCCGGGGACTCTTGGTATCCAGCATTCATTTCACAACACCACCCAGTCCAACACGATGACCTTGTAACTATCTTTGGTCATAATATGCTTCTATAAGACATAAGATAATGCTAGTTAATAGGTTTTATTTTATTTTATTTTAGTGAGATAAGATTTCGTTGTGTAGTTCAGGCTGGCCTTATTCTGGTGGCAACCCTCCTGCCTCAGCCTCCTGAGTGCTGGGATAACAGGTGCAAGCCACTATGCCCAGTTGTTTAGTTTTGTTTTGTTTTGTTTTGTTTTTTTGTTTGTGTGTGTGTGTGCAAAAATGGTAGCTGTTGATTTGTCTTTAAAATTGGGTAACATCTTTTTTTCTGCTTGGAAAAACTCCCAATTCTGAGAACCACGCTGATAAAACGAATCTTTCTCACAGTGCCCTCTGCAGGGGGCAGGTCTTGCTGACACCTTCTAATAAAGCGAATTTGGGTAATAACAGTGATTACACAGAGCCATGCAGACAGCGGGATGGGAGGCAATCATGCAGCTGGTTCCTCCTGGGACCCTTAGGGAAGACCCGGATGGGCTGTTGTACAGCCTTGAACGCCCCGCCGCGTAGGCGACCCTGCCTCCTCCGGTCCCTGAAGCCGAGCTATTGAAACCCACAGGCTTCACGCTGTGGAGCAGAGCTCACTGTAGCAAGGAACAGAAGGAAGGCGACATACTGTGCGTCTTCTCCGCACTCAGGATGCAGGGTGACGGCAGGTGTGGCCTCTCCCCTGGGCCTCTTCCTCTACGCCTGCAGGTGGCGCTCTGCCCTGCAGGGTCTGACCTCTTAGATGGCACAACCTGGCACACACAGTCACTGCCGAGTAGGACCTCAGCGCATGCACACCGCGGGGCACAGTTTAGCTCACACATCGGTGAACAGGATTTCATTCAGCCTCCAGAACTGACTCCCATGCTGAGGTTGTGAAGCTGACCCACCTGGCTTGTCACCCTGTTTGTTCCCAGCGGCAGAATGAAGAATTGGGAAGCCTCAGTCTCTGCTGTTGAATCCAAGAGGCAGTGTTCTGGGCTGTCATCCTAGAATCCAGAAGCCGTCAACACAACCACCAATACCACCACTACGATGTTGGGCCTGAAGCACAGCTAGAGCTCCAGCCATCACATCCATATTCCAGTTACAAGGAAGGATGGCAGGATTCCAGGCAGAGCTCTGCCCTTCATGCTCAACTTCCTGGAAGCACTGCAGGGTTTCAGCTCACATTCCTCACATTCTATTGGCTGCATCTTAATCACGCGGCTCCCTGTAGCTGCAAGGGAGGCAGGGAAGTGGAGTCTTTGTTTTCTAGTGGAAAGACTGGAAATATGTGTAAAGGGAAAGAGAAGGGGATGGCAGGCCACTATTATAGCTCAGTGGCACAGCGCTTGGATCGCAGGCGTGAGGTAGTGAATTCGATTCCCCAGTACCAAAAAAAAAAAAAAAAAAGATGTATTTTGGGGGCCACCAGCAGTCTCTGCAAACAGATGATCAGAAGGGCTTAGAACTGTATCAGGAGACAGCAGCAGGCAGGGGCTTGGGTCTCCTCCAGAGCTGGTGGGGGTCTGTTTTGTCCTACAGTTTCTCAGGTGCATAGGAGATGCAGATGGGAAGGGGAGCAAGAAGCTGTCACCGCGTCCTGGTCACAGGTCTGTGCCTCACCCTCGCCTCTCTCCGCAGCCCTCCATCCCTCTCAGAGCTCCCCAGCAACCACGACAGAGACGACTTCCTTGTGGGGCAGCCCGGTGACCTTTGACAACATCACAAGCCCGGGGGCACCTGGTGACCTCGGGCCCACTTGGCCCACCCCCAGCGGCCCCAGGTCCTGAACCAGTTGTCCTGCCACGCCCACAGCGAAGACACAGGGCTTCGGGGAGACCTAGCCCGAGGCAGGAGGTCCAGGTATGCAGTGAAACTTCCCATAGCCCACTGCGATGCTCCTTAAGGGAAAGTTGCTCAATTTATAGCTGTCATGACTTCCAAATATTGTTTTAATTTCCTGAAAACAAACCTGAAACATTTTTCATAACGATAATTCGTATTCATAATATAAAGTGCATGCCATTAAAGAGAAGCCACATGTAAGCTGTCAGTCAGGGATAGTCTCTGGTACCTTTTAGCTGGACCTAATGGTGCATGCTTGTAATCCCTGCGCTGTGGGAGGCTGAGGCAGGAGGAGGTTAAATTGGAGTCCAGCCAGGCAACTTTACAGCTTAGTGAGATCCTGTCTCAAATAAACAAACAAAAAAATCATTGATAATTTTTAATGCATGCTATTTTATTATTTGAAGGTATATGTCTATGTTTTTTTCTTGTACAAACATTGAGGTCATTCGTGCATGTGTTTTTGCAATCTATTTTCTTCTCATTGCCTCATTTAACCTATTTTTCTTTGCCAATGTGAATATTTTTACAGCAGAACTTTAACCCCTGTCTGAATCATGATAGACAGATAATAAGGGTCCTGATGCTAAAGTAGGCTGCTGTGTAGATAAAGTTTTGTAGATAAAGTTTTGTTGGAGCACGGCCATGCTTGTCTACTGTCTGTGGCTTGTTCACAATAGAATTGAGTAAGAACACTCAAGAATTTATGGCTTGTAAAGCCAGAAATATTTGTCCAAAAAAAAGCTTTCAGACCCTGGGCTAGACCATGGTTCTCAAAGCATGGTCCAGGGATCTCTGGATGTCCCTTACTTTCTTTTGAGGATTCTGAGAGATATTATTATCTCAGTAGCCTTGAAACATTCCTTATTTCCTCCTGATTGACACTCTGGTGACTAATAAATGCATATTTGGATGTTTTTAGTGTTTAAAATTTTTTCCTTGTTTATTTGTAATGCAGTGAATATCAACAAACGTAACTTATACAAGCAAAACTTCTCTGAGATCCTTCATGATTTTTTTTTTTTTTTTTTTGGTACCGGGGGTCAAACTCAGGACCTTGTGTTTTCCAGGCAGGTGGGTTTGCTGCTGAGCTATATTCCTGGTCCCTTCATGATTTTATAAGAGGAAAAAGGTGTCCCAAGACACAAAAATTTAAAACTCTTGTCTGGATGTCTTGTTGAATCATTTAACCTCTCAAATGAGGGGGCAGGTAGATTACTTTTATAATTTTTCACAAACAACTTTGCGATGCAGTTGTTTTGTTAGTTCTGCGACAGTAATATCAGAGTAATCACTGAAACATTGCTAGGGTATTATAAGAAAATGGTAGGAGTTCCCAGTGCAATAATATTCATTGTTGGTTTTTAAACGCGTGGTCCCGAGCTTAGGGCGCCTCCTAGTGGCAGAGGGTCCACACCGGGGCTGAGTTGGCTGCCGCCACCTTCAGTTCTTGGTGAAGGCTGTAGGAAAATAAAACCAGTGCACAGAGATTGTGGGAGCGTTCCTTGCTCCTCCACCTGGGCAGACCTCAGTGTGTTCGCCATTGTCAGGGAAAGAGACAAAAGAAAGTGCTGGTGACTGACTCCCAAGAGCTGGGGACCCTGAGCTCTCTGACCAAGAATCCAAAATGCTCCCTTTAGAGAAATAAGCTGGTGAGCTTCAGGACAGCAGCCAGGGGCACCCTCGAGGTTGGGCAGGAAGTGACCTGAATGAGGACTTTTTTTTTCTCTTTTGAGACAGAGTCTTCCAATACAGTTCAGGCTGGCCTTGAGTTCACTTTATGACCCAGGCTGGTCTTGAACTTGCAATGATCCTCCTGCCTCAGCCTCCTGAGTGCTGGCATTACAGGCATGTGCCACCATACCTGGCTCTGGAAGTGAAAACCTTAACAGAGACATTGAAATAGGAAAAGCAAAAACCATACAGAAACCCTGGGGCTGGGAAATGAGGGTTCCAGGGCTCTTGCATCTCCTGTGATCTGTGTTCATGCCAAGATGATGTTCCTGTGCAGACTATTCTCCTGGATTCAGTTCCAGGCTGCTTGGGAATAAGGACCATATCACCTGTGTTTTATTCTCTTTCTGGTTGCTGCTCCTCAATCTTGAATTTAATTAAGAGGTGTCCATTTGGTAGATTTAGTGCCAGCAACCACAATGCCTTCCATTGGTTTAACATTCTTTCTTGTTATTATTGTTTTTTTTGGTTGGTTTTTGAGACAGGATCTCACTATGTATTCCAGGCTAACCTTGAACTTGAAGCGTCCTGCCTCAGCCTCCTCCGTGCTGAGGTTATAGGTGTATCCCATCATGCCTGGCTGGTTTAAGATCTTACCCATCTGCAGTTTTACAGGTGATAAAACTGTAGTTCTCAAAGATGAGAGACTTTGAGTACTGTTACAAGACCAGTGATTACCAGGTTTGGAGTCTGAACCTAGATATAAAAATATCCAAGCTGGGCCTGGTGGTGCATATCTCAAGGAGGCTGAGGCAGGAGGATTGCAAGTTTGAGCCCATCCTGGGCAACTTAGAAAAGGTGTGGGATGTAATTTCAGTGCAAAGGCCCTGAGTTTAATCCCTACCACTGCCAAAACCAAACCAAACCTAGTGACCTTGCTTATCACACCACAGAGACTTGATAACATTCCTTTATGTGTGTGGTGGTGTGTTAGGGGAACTTGGGATGCAGTGGAGAGCTGGACTCTGAGAGGTTATAAGGGTCAAGTCCAGATCACCTGCTCATGAGTGGAACAGGCTTTTGGGGCACACTTGTGTTCCTGGAACATCTTTGTCTTCCTGTGGTTATAAAGTTATTTCTGGAAAGCAGACATACAGAGCAGATTTTCTGATTCCATTTAGGTTTTTTCAATGTAATTTTTCATTTTTTCTTAAAAAAACATTTGAATAACACCTGCAGCTGTGAAAAAATGTTGAAGTGCCAACCAGTGTGGTCCTAAGTTGGAAAAATGAAGACCAAGCCGCTTTTGCGTTCTGGTATAGTATAAAGAATGAGACAAGTGGCAAATGGGTCACTCAGCAAACACAGTACAGCATCACAGGCTTGAGCCCAGCGATGCCATAGAGGTTCTCTGTATCTCTAGGAAGAGACAAGGAGAACTTGGCAGAGCCCGCTTTCATCAATGTCACAACGGGTGAGATGATCAGCTCACAGCCATGGTCACAGACCATTTCTTATTATCCTGTACCGTAGAGCCTTGTCCATCCTGTTCCCTGTTGGATCAGGGCATCCGATCCTTTAGTGTTGTTGTTTTTGAAACAAGGTCTCACATGTAGCCCAGTCTGGCCTTGAACTCCCCGTGATGCTTGGCCTCAGCCTCCCAGGTGCTGAGATGAAGGGTGTGTGCTACCAATCCCAACTAGAAGTTTCCCCTTGCTTTATTTTTAAAATCTTTTGGTTTGTTACCAGTGGCTCACACCTGATCTTCTGCAGGGCCCTGGTGTGAGGCTTCCTTAGAAGGGTGATGACGTCTGCAATTCCTAGTCTTCTCAGCTCCTTGGGAAACTGAGGCTGTGTCTGTTTGCCCTGAAGCTCTTTTTGGACATGGGAGCTTGGTGTGCTTTACAGGAAAGTGTGTGTTTCAAGTGGGGTGTGGCCCCGTGATGTTTGGACTTTTAATGGAGACCAGACAACTTAGGTCGTGGTGTAGATATCAGTTCCCTCAGTCTCCTCTGAGACTGCCAATGTAGCTTTTTAAATTTTATAGATTGAAAGGAACTAAAAATTAAAAACTAGTGCCCAACAGATGAGCTGTTCTTTTTAAAGCAAGAGGAAAATAGAGGCCCTCTGTTGGCTTCCTGGGTGGTGGTGTGGATGTGTGAGTGTGTATGCCTGTGTGTGATGTGAATGCACGTGGCCTTCCTGGCTGGCGAAGGCCACAGAAGCCCAGCCCTGGATCCTATGGTTTGAAGTGAGGTAAGTCCCACAGACATCCCTTTGAGACCACTGAGTTTTGACATTCGTTTTTCTATAGCTTGGAAATTATTTTGTTAGAATATTACTCTGAAGCCAACAAGTAGAACAGCAACAACACAGTATGAGACCTGGTGATGCAGCTGTAGTGGTAGAGCGTTTGCTTGGCATGTGAGAGTCCTCAGCACTGCCAAACCAAACCACCCCATGTAAGACAAGACTTGATGCAGAAGTCTCGCATCAGAGATATGTGACCTGGGAAATCAAGCAAATGCCTTTGTTTCTGGGTTGGGTGGTGCTGGAGTTTTCCTGTTCAGTCCCCCATACCTCAGACAGGGCTCTGTCCATCTGTCATCTTTTTGTCTCTCTGTCTCTGTCACTGAGGTCCCCTGTGCTTCCCATTTAGCGGCCAGGAGCTGGGGCTGTGGTCTCTGCTGCCAGCAGTGCTGTGTTTTCCTGAGCATACTGCTGCCTCTCTGATCCTCTCTCCTGAGTGTAATTTTAGCTGAAGTGCTTTAATTTATGTCACAACAGCCAGAGGAGATGACAGCCAGGGCACAGCATGGTGGGGAATTTTGCCTTGGGCTGGATCAGGGGGACAGACACCTCGGTGGCTGGGTCTGGGTCCTGTAAAACGCTCCTGTGACCTGGTCTTGAAGGGAGACCTGGGGACCTGGCAGAGAGGGATTCCTTGCACTGCTCCACTGTCCGTGTCTGATGTAGATGTGATTAAAGGCCGCTGCCTAAGGGGACATTTTAAAGCAGAGTTGAAGTCATAGTCAGGGCTCATCTTAAAGGACAGTACAGACCTTGACTGATTTTGGTCTTAGGGTTTATTCCTTCTGCTTTATTCTGTGTTCCTCAAGCTGCGAATGGTGGCGACACAGTGACTTAGATAAAAGGACTGTTTCCAGTGGGACACACAGAATTGGACTGATTTAAGGGGAAGAGCTACTGAGCTTGAGAGTGTCCCCCTGTGTTTATCCACAGAGCCTCTTCCGGTGTCTGGTCTGAGCGTGGCCTTCGTGGGGGAAACACAGGTTGTCCTTACCTGGGGCAGTGACAATGGCACCGCGTCCTGCAGGCTGTTTCTTGAAAGTCAGGAGATGCTAATCAACATTTCAGATCCGAGGCCTGGGTTTCGGCAAGTCCTTCTCCATCGTCCACAACCCAGCAAGACACAGAGTGAAAGGGGCCCAGGTGAGCTATGAAATTTGATTTCCTCTCATTTAATAGTTGTAAAAGATACCGTTTCTGTGTTGCGCAGGGTTTAAGAATTGGTGGAAGGCTTCCCCTCCATGATAGTTCAGTCCCGCACTCCTTTCCAGAAGGAGAGGAGCGTCTTATTTTACTGGTGAAGGTGTTGGGGCTCAGGAGGGTGCTGGGTCTTGAAACCTGAACACCTGGGCACCCTGGGAAGCAGATGGGCCCTGGAGCTTTTGATTTTCCAGCTGGGCGCATAACTGGGAGCCCAGGGAGGAACTCATCTCATCCCTGAAGACCAGGGATGCCCAACAGCACCCACAGTGGGCGCTGTGCAGCTTTTGTCGAGGATGAGGACTATTTGTGCCCTATTTCATGCCTGAGGAAACAGAGGCACTGAGCAGGGTTGAGGTTTTTGACTGTAAGTGTCAGATGGGAGCTGGACTTCAGAGGACTTAGACTAAAAGAGCAGTGCATGGCACATGCATACTTCTCTGCTGCAGGTGCTGTGGTCTTAGAGACAGAGATGGGGCGATTCTCAGCCCTCTTCCTGCTTCTTTCTGTGTATCAGCTTCTTCCATGCAGTTCAGGGACAAGTGGCCTCTGGTCCCTCATATATCATACCCATTACTTCCCTGCTGTCTGCTGCATGATGCAAGGGATGCTGAGTCTGAGTCAGGGAGCTGTCCCTGGGAGACCTTGTTGGGATGCAAGAAGATCATCTCCCAAGGAAGGGAAAATGGTCCAGCCTGGGTGGAGTGATACACATCTGTCAGCCCTGCCCTCGGGAGGCAGAAGCAGGAGGATCACTGTGAGTTTCAGGCCACCTAGTGAGATCCTCTAAAAAAAAAAAAAAAAAAAAGGTCCAAACTGCAGAACCAGAGAGGCACAGGATGCCTGCAGTGTTCCTGGAATTGCAGCACAAAGTGAAATACTGGGACCATTTCAAGGGACCAGATTGCTGTCTAGGGGCAGCAGGAAATAGGCATTTACAGAGTGCTGACCGTGGGATGTGTCACCATATGGGATGCGGGTGCTGAAAGGAGAATGTGTTTTGTGGGTGCAGCTAATGTCTTTGCCTCCTGGCCTGGACACAGATGCTGGTGGTACAGTGAGCAGCACTTCGGAGAGCCCGGGCTTGAATCGAATCAGATACCGCCTTGAATACACAGGCCCAGCCCCTGGGAGGAGAACCAAGACACAGAAGTTCTGATCAGGGGATTAAAGATGCATGGTACAATGTCACTGTTTACCCTCGGGCGGCAGACAGCACGGAGGGATGGCCCAGCAGCTTGGAGTTCAGAACAAGTATGTGAATGGCCCTGCTGCAATGGCCTCAGTCAGCCATGGGCACAGGTTGTGTCTCTTGTGATTCTGTATCTGAGTTATCACTGGCTTATCAGCCAGCTCTGTTGTGGGGAGAGATTTTGGATGGCACTGACCTGGGGAGCTTCTCCTTGCTTCAAGGCTGTGGCTCAGAGACACATTGGGCTATTACCTCCTGCCTGTCACCCCTGTCTCTGCAAGGAGCCAGAGAGACAGACAGCTGGTGCAGCATCTAATCACTGGCTAATGTTTCTCTGCTTGAGATAAGAAAATGAGCCTTCCTTTTCGGCCTATGCTGGAAACGCATGCTCCTTTTCCTGTTGAAATCTTTGCTGTCGCACTCGCTATGACTCAGTCTCCCACTCTCGGAACTCACAAGTATTTGGAGGTGTCTCAGTCACTGTCCTGTTGCTGGGATCCACAACTTAGGCGCCCACAACTTAGACAAGGAGAGGTTGATTTTGGCTCACAGTTTTGGTCCATGGCTGGCTGACTCCAAAGCAGTTAGGGTTGGCAGGCAGTGCCCAGCCCATGGCAGCCAGAAGCAGAGAGGTGGAAGGACTGGGACAAGAATGCACACCCAGGGTCACATCCAGGGTACACCTCCAGCCAGGGCCCCTTCTGTTGGTGCATCCAGCTGTGAACTCACTGATGAGTATAAGCACCCCAGGATCCCATTGCACTCCACACACAGGAGACTTCTGGGGGAACACTACAGGTCCAAACCATAACCAGAAGCTAACAATGAGAGGTTAAAGAAACTCATGTTTCCTCCTCCAAGAGGCCTGCCACATGGGCAGGAGGTGGGATGCAGCATGCAGTCAGGCTCTGTGAGCTCAGGGACACATATCTCAGTGTCACCACCCTGGGGGATTGGTGACAGGCAATGTGAACAGACCGGGGTCATTTTACTCAGCCAACTGCAGGACTGAGACTTGAGGCTGGTAGAGCTAAGCCCTCAGGAGATGCCAGAGGGCTGGGCCACACTCATCTGGTGACAGTCTTGGGTTCAGAGTCCCTAGAGGGATGGTGCTTCACATTCCTGCTCACCTGGTGGCTGTGCTGGGAGAGGGAGGTGCTGTCCTCTTAGCAGCTGTGGGTGACAGCAGTGCCTCCCACCCTGGCGTTTATAAGTATTGTAGCAGGCTGAGGCAGGAGGATCACACGTTTGCCCCCAGCTTAAGCAACTTAGTGATTTAGTGAGGCTCTGTCTCAAAATAGATAAAAGGGGGCTGGAGATGTAGCTCAGTGCAAAAGGCCTGGCTTCAATCCCCAGGACCACAAAACCTATCCCAACTCAACCCAATCCAAACAAAAATCCCCAGGCAGGCTCAAGCCAGGAGGGCAGCCTAGGGTTCCAGGCCCTGGATGCTAAAGCCTGGAACTAGGAAGAGGGAATGTAGGACACGGAGGGCAGAGATTTGGTGATGCCTTGAGGACCCTGGTTGTTAAATCCAGAGGGCTAGATTGATTGATTGATTGATTGATTTTTGACTGAAGGAATTTCTTCATTTATTTTTTGGTTTTCTTGTTTTATTTATTGTCATCCCCTGATCATTCACCTAGAGCACAACTTCTGCATTCAATTGTTTGAACAATACCTGAATACATTTTTCTCTTCAATGAACTCAGAGAAATCAATATTTTTATATGCCTATATACATATACATATGGTGTTTCAGCTTCTTACACTAGTGAGACAATATGATGTGTGCATATATGTGTCTGATTTATTTCACTTATGAATATGGTTTCAAGTTGCATCCATTTACCTATAAAAGCCTACACATCTTTTTATCTGTTCCTCAGCCAATGGACATTTAGGTAGTTAACAAGATCTGGCTATTACAAATTGTGCAGCTATAAACAGGTGTGCACACATGTCGCTGTGGTATGATGTGTTTTATTCTTTTGGGAAAATACTCAGAGCGGGATCGAATGGGACCAGAGAGCTCGGTTTAATTTCTGGAGTGATGTTGTGTGTGTGCTTTGAGAATTAGTTCTCCCTCACCGTTAAGAGAAATGAGAGGAACGGAGCTTAGCATACCTGCAGATGGTTCCAAGCCAGGCTGGAGAACCTAGGCAGGAAGTGGTTGATGGTCATGTCTTCTGGAGGGAACAACAGCTTTCCTAGTGGCCAAATTGCAAGAAAGTCTGCTTGTGTCTCTTTCCTTCTTTCCTCTCCTCCTAGTTATACTCATGCTGTAGCAGAGACTGCTCAGTGGCCTCACCAACTGCAGGGTGGCAGGTGGCATTGGATTCAGAGGGCTTGGTATCCAGAGAGGAGGTATGAGGAGGAGGAGGAAGGGCTGCTCCATGGGGCTGTGGGCTCTGGCAGGTCACCACTGGCTGACAGGGTGATTGGGGCTGACATCCAACCTGGGTCCTCTTCATCTGTCAGGCCCTGGGCTGGATCCCTCCAGAGGAAGGTTCTGGAATGTTCCTCACAGGCTCATGTGTGAGCACTTGTTCCCCACTGCAGCCTTGTTCAGAGGTGGGGAAGTGATTGGGTCATGAAGGCTCTGATCTCATCAATGACTAAATCATTGATGAGTCAATATATGAATTAATAATGGATTCATTCATTGATGGGTTCATACTTTGTTAGCCCATGTTGGGAAGCAGTGAGAACTTAGGAGGTGGACCTAGCTGAAGGGAGTGAGGCCTTCAGGCAGTGGCCCTAGGGTGTTTTTTTTTTGGCGGGGGGTTATGGGAATTGAACCCAGGGCCTTGTGCACTGAGCCACATCCCCAGCCCTTAGGGGCTATATTTTGTTCCTGGCCCTCCTTTCCTCCTTCTGCTCCTTGACCTCCAGGAGGTGAGCAGTTTTCCTCTGTTACTTCCTTCCATTTTTACACAGACCCAAGGATGATGGAGCCAACCATGAACTGAAACCTCTGAAACTGTGAGCGAGTGTTGATTTTCTCAGGCATTTTGTCACAGTACTGACATACTGATTGACACAGGCTCACAGGCTCTCTCCTTGATTTGCCAAAGAGGGTCCTGTAAGTTAGTGTGGGCCTGGGGTTCTTGCTTTTTAAAGCAATTTAAATAAAAGTGAAGAAGTAATGACTGTCTCTCAGGCTCTTTGTGCTCTAAATACTTATATATCCTGGTTTGTGCTTAAGTAGTTTAGCATTTCTTAAATAACTTATGAAGGATAATTTCTGTGTGTGTGTGTGTGTGTGTGTGTGTGTGTGTATGTGTGTGTGTGTGTGTGTGTGAGACAGAGAGAGAGAGGGAGAGAGAGAGAAAGAGAGAGAGAAAAAGAGAGAGAGAGAGAGAGAGAGAGAGAGAGAGAGAGAGAGAGAGAGAAAGAGAAGGAGAGAGAGAGAGAGAGAGGGAGAGAGAGAGGAGCATGGCTTAGTTTAATTTTGACTGCTGTAACAAGTTACCACACCCAGGGGCAGCTTACACAATAAGCACTTCTCACAGTTCTGGAGTCTGGAAGGGTGAGATTGAGGCGCTGGTAAGGTTGGGTTCTGACTGTGGGGCCTGGGCCCTCTTCTGGGCTCTGAGCTCTGTGTCCTCATGTGATGAGAGGGATGAGAATGGGGTTTCTTGGACCTCGGGTCATTGCTGTCATCTCATCCATGGGGCTCTGCCCTCATGACTACTAAGGGTTGTAATTACTTTCTCTTGCTGCTGAGATGAAATACCGGACACCCAAGATGAAGGAGGAAAGGTTGATTTGGCTCAGTCTGTAGAGGTTTCAGTTCATAGCAGGCTGGCTCCAAGCCAGGTAGGTGCGGCAGAGGGGCATTGCAGAGGCGAAACAGTTCATGGGAGACAGAAGGCAGGAAAAGCCGGCAAGCAAGGACTCTTTCTGTCCCTTACATCTTACCCAGGCTACTCTCACACCCTTAGTCCCAGCGCCCTGGATCCTAGCACTGCAGCATGAATCAAACAGCATCACATACCTTAGATCCAGCCACCTCTGAAAAGCCCCACCTAGGGCCAATGAAGCTTTGGGGGGCCTTAGACACAGCCACAATGCCCAACGAGGGTGGAGCCTGTGGAGGACACCTGACCTGGAGCAGAGGTGATGGATTGGAGACAGAGAGCGCTCTTGACTCCCGGACCTCAGTGCTGCTAGTGTCACGCAGTGGCACCTGCTCCTAGACCACGTGGCCACGTGGTGCTAGTGATATCACATTAGGGGCTCAGAGCAGGGGGCAGGCAGGTGGTGAGTTGTATCCTTGCATGACCCTGGCTTCAGGATGGGACTGTCATCCCATTTGTGAAAACACAGTCGGCCTGGGAACCCAGGTGCACCCTGTCCAGTCTGTGCCCTTTGATTCATCATGGAAGAGCAGTGCTCACTCTCAGGCACACGTGCTGGGACTTTTCTGAGTCACCACTCCCAAGGCAGGGTAAACAACAAGGCCTGGTTTAATGGTTAAGGGGAAGAGCAGTTGCTGAGGTTGCTTTTTAAGCTCACTGGCATGTGCTGGTGGCTACTCCCTGCCCCTTCTGCCAGGCTGTATTGGGACCCTTCACCCAATGTTGTGTGTCTTCACAGATTCTGAGCAGGTGATTGACATCAAACCTGTGAACATCAGTGCCACGAGCCTCAGCCTGACCTGGACAGTGAGCCACAATGGGTCATCCTCTGCCTATACCTATGAGATCCACGTGGCCGGGCACAATGAGTCCCTCACCCTCAGTGTCAATGAGACTTACACCTACATCCATGGCCTCCACTCGAGCACCCTTTACAACAACACAGTGTGTCCTTTCCTGCGAAAAGTGGAGGGCACACCAGCTTTCCTTCAGGTGTACACCTGTGAGTTTGCCCCCTGGGACATTCCTCCCCACCCTGTGTGACAGGCCCATGGATCCCCAGGGACTCTCACCCCGAAGCTCAGAAGGCAGAGTAACAGCTGTCACTGCTCCGGCCTGGCTAATAGCTGCTTTCTCTGCACTGTACTATTGGATGCTCCCAGCATCCTTGTGACATGGGTGGCATTGCCCTCAACTTTGGGTATAGAACCAAGGCCAAGGCAGGGGATGTAGGCAGGTGTCACACCTGGTGGGCAGCAGAGGTGAGGTGAGTAGAGACCTGGGATGAATTGAGACAGGGAGAAAAGGAGAACTCAGATGCTTTGGTCCTGGTGTCCCTGGCATGCTGACACTGTAAGGAAGTGTGTATCTCATCTTTTGATTGCTTAAATGTCCTCTAAAGGTGAGATGATAGATTAGGCAACAGGTAATGCACTTCCTGCTGTGAAATAAAGCAGTAACAGTACATGGGCACATGGCAGCATAGCAGTGTGGACTCTAGCAGTGCCCTGTGCTTTATGTGTATTGCAGTGGTCTTTGTAGTGGGTGTTGAACTCTTGTTGCAGATGAGAAAACTTCACCCCAGCACAGCTGAACAGCTGACCCAAGTCCATTGAGCTAGCAGGTGCTACAGCAAGGGCTTGAACCTAGGAGAGCTTGAAGCAGGGCCCAGGGTTCATCCTGCAAAAACGTGTCACGCAGGAGCCTGGGGCATCCCAGTCAACACATACCTCATGCCTTCTTACAAGTGCCCTTTGTGCTGGCTGTTTGGAGAAGATGAAATCTATTTTCATTTCTTCATCTTTTGCTTTTGTACACCACGAATTACAGTTAGGTTCAGCTGTGAGTTTCAGCTCCCACAGACAGTCACTTAAGTAAGACAGGAGTTTGTCTCTGTCTCAGGTAAAAGCAGCCCAATGCTAGGCAGGATGGAGATGCAAGAGTGTTAACCAGGTCTCGGCTGCAGGAAACAGAAAACTGTGGGCTGTTTTGAGCCCAAAGAGATTTATCCTGGAAACTACAGGTTTACAGACTCAACAGAAAGGCACATGGATTACTTTGCTAGGGCTGCTGTAATGCATAGCACAGAAACTTGTTTCTTTTATACTTCCTGAGGCTATGTGTTATCAGGGTGAGCATGGGTATGGCTTGTCCCGGAGCCTCTCCTCTTGGCCCGGAGGTGGCGCTCTGCCTGTGTCTGGCCTCTTCTTAGAGACCCTTGCACACCGTCACTGCTGAGTGCAGGATTATGACTTCAGTGCATGCGTGCTGGGAGGCACAGTTCAGCCCATTAATTAGTGAACGGGATTTCACTCAGCCCCCAGAACTGACTGCCACACTGAGGCCATGGAACTGACTCAGCTGGCTCGTCATCCTGTTTGTCCCTATGGGCAGAGTGAGGAATCAGGAAACCTCAGCTTCTGTTGCTGGATCCAGGAGGCAGTGTTCTGGTTTGTCATCCTAGGATCCAGAAGCTGTCACCAACCACTATCACCACCAGTACTGTGTTGATTCTGGAGGCAGGCAGCCAGAGCTCCAGCCATCATTTCTCTGTTGCAGTTAGAGGAAAGATACAGGATCCCAGACAGAACTTCGCCCTTCAGGCTCAGCTTCCTGGAAGCACTATAAGGCTTCTGCTCACATTCCTCATTTTCTGTTTGCTACATTTCAGTCATGTAACTTCCTGTAGTTGCAAGGGAGGCTGGGAAATGGAGTCTTTGTTTTCTACAGTCATGTACTCAGTGATAAGCAGAGGCTCAGGGGGGCTCAGTACTGCATCAGGAAAAAGCAGACAGCAGGGGACAGGGTCTCCTCCAGAGCTGGGGCGGGGGTCTGTCTTGTCCTGCAGGTGACTTTGTGGTAGTGTCTGCGGTCATGTGACCCCTGGGCCCTCTTTGAGGTCAGAAGCAGCAGTTTCTGAGCTGCTCATGTAGTTGCTGATTAGAAGGGGAGCACAGAACTCTGTGTTCCCATGGGGCAGTTGTCTAAGGGTCTGTCTGTGTTAGGCATAAGGTGCCAGTTGTCACCATTTCCAGAGACACAGACCCTTCCCCTCACTCTCACCGTCTCTGCATAGCTCCTTTTCCAGTCTTTGACTTCTGAGTGACGAGTGTGGACATGAGGCAAATTGGCTTGGTGTGGAACAGCAGCGACTCAGAGTCCTTTATAATTGTCACAAACCAGGATGTGTCTGGAGAACATCACAGCAATGTGACCAGCTACCTGCAGATTCTCACTGTGGGCTTAATGCCTGCAACCAACTACCATTTTGAAATATTTCCACAAGGACCCAATGGGACTGCAGGGGAGCCCACAGCCATTCACAGTCGGATTGGTAAGTGAGCGGACTGAGCTGTTGCCTGAGAGCCGCTGGGTTACAGGTGTCCTGTCTTCCAAATGCTTTTCTTTAAATTAAGAAGAATCTTAAACCTATCTTAGGACTGTAGTGTTATTACATACGGACCACCTAAAGCAAGAACAAAAATACCATTCGCCAGAGTGCATCTCTGATAAAATTTTAGAACACACACACACATACACACACTCACACTCACACACACACTCACACTCACACCCCTTTTATAAATCTTGGGGTCATTTTGTATGTGTGGTTTTGGAATCTGCTTTTCCCTCACCTCCCAGTTTATCCTATTTCCAGCATAAGCCTTTCTACCAGATTACCCTGGCACCTGCCTTTGTCACATCATCTAAATATCAGTGGATCTACTGGTGGATAATAGTGGCCTGCTATTTTTGTAGCTAGTCTTACTGACTCACAATCCTGCTCATTTTTTATATACTGCCAGTGGTAGCTGCTTTTGCCTTAGAATTCAGCGTAGCAGTGGAGAATTCGTAGTTTGTGAACCTGAGGTATTTATTTTCTGGCTCCGGCCGTAAGCTGCTGATCCCTGGGCTAGGCCAGTGGTATTCACCGCACCATCAAGGACTCCCCGAAGAGGCTGTGCAGTGTTATCAGATGGTCACACTGCATGTTTCTTGGCTGTTTTCTACTCTGGTTTGCTCGTGTGTGGCATTTCCCAGATGGTGTCTGACTGGGGACAACTGTGTCACAATGTGGGGGGAAGGGAAAGACTCACTTAAAGTGCAGTAAAAACTGATAAACATGACCCCTGTGAACAAAAAACCTGAAGTCCTTAATAACTTTTAAGAAGATGAAGGAGTCCGAAGAACCACTGGTGTGCATGTCCTGCACATGGCCTGCGCTCTGTGGCGGGGGCAGCCTGACTCTTTATAGGGTTTATTTTTTTATTTTTTATGTGAGCCTTTTGTATTTGACAAAGAGAACAATTAGAGGGAATAGAAATGTTTAAATCTAGCCAAGGCTGGTGCAGCTAGCAAATGGCTGATCAGGGATAAGGAGATTCTTCTTCTTCTTCTTTCGTTTATCTTAACTATCTATCATGTTTTCTCTTGTTTTCTTCCAAATAGTTGTCCATGTCTTTGCATATGGAGAATTCATAAAAAACATAGTATAAAACTGATCCAAACAGAATAAGTAAGGCATTTTAGGTCTTCAAAATCAGACAATAGGGAAGTCACTAATGGCTGTCGTAAAATCTCTCATTCTCTTCAAAATAGCTGTCCATACTTTCATGTATACTGAAGTTCAACAAAACGAAACAGGCTAAAATAACACCATTAATTAGAACAAAGCAAAACAGGGATAAAAGTATTTGCCTTCAAAGAGATGGTAGAAGTAAATCCCCCCTATTTGCTACATTGCCTATGGTCAGCCTCTCCAGGAATGTGCAGATCACTGGCTCCAACTTGCTAAGGGTGGAGGTGGGGGGATGTGATATTTGAGTGGATGAGTGAAGTCCAGATGCAAAAGTACAGACCACACACGCTGGGTTATCAGCTCAGGTAGTTCATGGAGAGTGATTACCAAGGCCCTAAGGACCCTTGAATGATAAAAGTGAAAGCCCAGAGAATTTATAAGATGGCTGGGTAAGTTCCTCTGTGCCGTAAAAGAACCACAATTCTTGAGAGAATGGTGTGCATATGTGCATTTTTTCTCTTTTATTAGAGCTTCCCCTCTGTCTCAGTGGACAGCTTGGTGACCAAAGAGTGAGTTCTCTAGACACACACCAGGCTGTAGGTGGATTCTCCGTGGTTGGAAGCAGCTTTCCCTTCTCCTTCCTTTCTTCTTCCAGTCTCCAGTGCAGTGTCTAACGTCAGCATGGTTAATGTCACCAGCACGGAGATGGCGCTGGAGTGGCAGAACACAGACCGTGCCGCTGAATCTGTCTACCACATGTGGGTCCAGTCTGCCAATGGCTCCAGGGAAACAAACAGCTCTCAGGAGACAATCTTTCTGTCGGACCTGCACCCGGGCACTCCCTATAACATCTCCATCTCTCCCGTGCTGGGCCAGGTCTGGGGGGACTCCAGCAGCATCATGCAGTACATACGTGAGTCTCTCGGGCATCCTGCGAGGACAGGTTTTCCCTGCTTGTCACCAGCAGGCGGCACGGTTAAGTGACCGGGTGAAGGCCTGGGGGGTTCTGGGTCCAAGCGACCTTGAAGCAGTGTAAGTGAAAAATGCCAGCCTTGGCCCAGGCCTGCCGTCCTTATGGGACCTGGGGTTGAAGCCGTGTGAACTTTAAGTCATCCTCTGAAGCAGCAAGTGAGGGCCACACACACTAGAGAACAGTCACGCTGTTACGGTGGCATTGCAAGACCCCACTTAGACAAGGAGCTTTGCCTGCCACAGTGAGGGAGATGTTTTGCCTCACTCCAACTAAATAAGTGTTGATGGTCTTTGTAGTATGGTTTTGGTATATTTGTTTCATCAGTCAGATTTAAGAGAAAAAAATGGGAAATTACATCTTAAAATATATAGTTCAGATAAACCTAATGTAGTAAAAGAAGCTGGGAGCTCACTGTGGTGTGTCTTCCTGTAATCCGAGCTGTAATCCAAGCATCCTGGGGAGGCTGAGGCCAGAGGACCACAGGTGTGAGCTTCAAAACAAAAGAAAGGGGCTGAGAATGTAGCCTAGTATGAAAGCTCTGGGTTCAGTGCATAGTACTAGGGGAAAAAAGGGAAAAATACTGAAAAGCTTTATTTCTCTTCAAATTTAATCTGTGTAATTATTTTCTTTCTTTTTTTTGGGGGGGTACTGAGAGTTCAATGTAGGACGCTGTGCTTGCCAGGCAGGTGCTGTGCCACTGAGCTATATACCTGGCCCTATATAATTATCTTCTGACTGTCTTTTTGGGAAGTCCTTCATTTTCTGTGCCAGCAAAAATTAGCAATATTTATTTTTTCCAAAAAAGAAACTAAGATGGTTTAAGATGTAGTAAATAAAGTTGTTCTAGGATTCAAAATTCTTCATGCTTTTTCTTTTGTGGTTTTTTGGAGACAGTTTTGCTATGTAGCCCAGGCTGGCCTAAACTTACCGCAATCCTCCTGCCTCGGCCTCCTGAGTATGGGATGACAGGTGAGTGCCATCACACCTGGCCTTATTGCTATTACTTTTCAATCCAGGGCCCAGCAATGTGTCTGACATTGAAGTAAATGCCAACGCTATGGCGGCCTACCTGAAATGGGAGAGCCTGGATACAGCCTCTCTTACCTACTCCTACCACCTTCTTATCAAGGAGGATGGGGATGGTGGCAGCACCATACAGAACATCACTGTCACCGGAGTCACGCATGACACAATCCTTGGATTAGTACCGGGCTCATCTTACACTGTGGAGATCTTTGCAGAAGTCAGGGGTGTTGAGTCCCTGGTTCCAAACCGGAAGAACTTCTGCACAGGTGGGTGGCCCGGTGCAGACTGCAGGTTCTCGGTGTGAGGACGAGGGGTGGACAGTGTGGACATTGCCCTCTACAGTCCTGGTGGGTCACCTAACGGCCATATAAATAGGTGTGGGTGATGACTACGGCCAAGGAAACGAATTGGGAGGGAGTGAACAGGGGAGGGCAGTGGAGTGTTTTTCTGGGCTGCCCGGGAAGGTTCAATAAAAGGCGACTACGCACAGATCTGGGGACAGTGAAGGAGCCAGCTGTGTGCAGTGAGGGTCTCAGCTGTTGCAGCAAGGAGTGGCTGGTGTAAAGGCCCTGAGGCTGGAGGGAGCAGGCCAGGGCGAGCTCTGTCCACAGAGCTCTCCCTCACTCCTGCCTTCCACTGTGCTGTTCAAGGGCCTCAGGCTGAGTCAGGAGTGGGGATCCCGCTGGGTCAGCCTCCCTGGGGACTTTAGAGCCAACTCTTGGTCCTGGGTTTTCATGTTAGCAGCTCTGAGTCACCCAGGCTCTTTGCTGGCTCTAGACTTCTAGCTCTGGTTTCTGGGAACCTGGTCACTGTTCCCTGGCTTGGTTGTAATTCCTGAAGCCCACAGCAGGGGGCAGCACTCAGACCAGCGTCCAGGTCAGGGTGGGGGTGTGGAGGTGTGGAGGTTTTGGGGACCAAAAGCTGCTGATCTGGACACCAAGATAGGGAGTGTGGGAACTGTAGCCCATGATGCAACAGAGCAAACCTTGCCCTAGGGGCTCTGTGACATTAATGATGACCTCTCACCCAGTGTACATGGCATGAAAGAAGATGATGGTAAATGTGCAAATTAGGAAGAATTTACTATGGTAAAAGTCACATGGTCATGAAGCCTCCTCAGCATACCCCCCTCACAGTGAACACATTTACCCCATTGTTCTTGCCACTTTCTGAAGCAGTTCTGGAAACCCCTGTCATGGCTGCCTTGATGTCCTGAATTGATTCAAAACGTTCACCTTTTATGGTTATTTTGACTTTAGGGAAGAGCCAGAGATGGTGCCTGAGGTGGATGAGGACACAGTGTCACACTTTCACAAGCCTGCCTTTTTTGTTGGATGGCTCTGGGCAAACGCATTCACCAGATTTTTGATCATGCCTCCTAAAGACAATCAGGGAAGAACACTCCAGAGCTGTTTCAGAAACTGCTAGGAACCACGGGGCTGGAGGTTTAGCTCAGCGACATAAGTGCCTGCCTTGCAAGCAGGCAGTCGTGAGTTCGATCTCCAGTACCGATAAAAAAACAAAAAACAAAAAACAAAAAACTGCTAGGAACCATGGGCCAGCTGTGTTTGAAGCAAAGGGGAGAAAAAAGAAGGGCATGGCAAAGGGTCTGACTGTAATACATGGTTAAAACCTTAAGATTTACAGTATGATCCGAATGCCCCTGTATTAACAGTTTCCCACTGACATCACTGTGGTGTTGGCCATGATTAAAACTACTGTCCGACACCCCACTACCAAGAAAAAGACACTGATACCATTTACCCTGGATTATACAGCATGTATGTGCATAGCCATCGCCCTGAACTTGGATTTAGAAAACCTGGGCTCTAGTTCTGCTCCCAGTCAACTTTCATGAGGTTCTTGTTCTCCTCAAGCCTCAGTTTACTCATCTGCAAGGTGGGATGGTGTGAACCTTACCCTGCTGCAAAGTGTTGCCAGGAGGGCCCCAGACAGGCCCTGATCACAGTGTGCCTGCTCCTGGGACCTGGTTTTGTGCTGGGCATCTCAGGCCTTGGCTGACACCCAGTGTCCCCTGACCCCTCACAGCCGAGCAAGATTTGGGTTCAGCCCTACCTCCTCCTCCCTACACTGCACCTGTCTCCCTCTAACCTGCATTCCTGAGTGTCCAGAACCTGAGGACAGCTGTGCTGACCTTGCAGAGTTTGCCCCTGTGGTTTCCTTTCATTGCCACACAGTCCCTCAGAACTCCAGCTTGGTCCTGACATGAAGCCGCCCTTCTGGCAACCATACCGGCTTCCAGTTGGGGCTCAGCAGTGGGACCTTGATTAATACAGTGTATCACCTGGCAGGCTGCTGCCCAGATACCAGCACCCACTGCAGGACCGAAGTGCCAAGTTTGAATTACTCTACATGGTACAACATCAGCATTGCCACGGAGTCCTGCGGGGCCACAGCAACTGCTGTCCAAAACACCTGCCTCCCGGGCATCACAGGTGGGCTCCAGGTCTGTGCACCTGGCTGGAACAGCTTCTGGCTTTACTTCCCCTGAGATACTTATCTTTATTGGCACAGACTGGGATCGGATTCTCTAGAAATCCAGGCTGAAAAAGCAGACTCATTCTTTTCATTCTGAAAGGATCTGTTGCTGTACAGAACAACCCATCGAGCCAGGTGAGGTGGCTCAAGCCTGTAATCTCAGCACTCAGGAGGCTGAGGCAGCAGGATTATTGTGAATTTGAGGCTAACCTGGGCTACAAAGTGAGTTCAAGTCCAGCCTGAACTGCATAACAAGTCTGTCTCAAAAAGCCAAACAACAACAACAACAACAACAACAAAACCCAACAAAACCCCCCAGAATAACCTATCACCATTTTTTTCTTTTATGTAAGCATTTCCTTTATTGCACCCAAAAATGACTTTTTCTTGGTACCAGCACTCAGACTCAGGACTTGTACTTGCCAGGCAGGCGCTGTGCCACTGGGCTATATCCCTGGCCCCCAAACTGACTTTTATAGAAACATCCAAATCTACACAAAAGAGAGGGCAGTGTGATGGAATTCATGTGCCTAGCCCAACTCTGAGTAGTGTTCTTTTATATTCTCTCCTCCCTTTTCTTCAAGGGTAATTTGGAAACAAGTTTTGATCTTTCTCTATTTTTGTTTGTAAATACTTCACCATATTTGCTTCAAAACAAGGACTTGTTTTTTCTTTCTTTCCTCCTAACATCGCTGTATTAACATTACCATTTTATTTCATAAAGGAATAAACGACCAGATATTCAGGCAAACTGAACATTTCCTTGGAATCCATATTAACAAGTTCTGAGCTGCTTTGGGAAATAGGAGATTAGTTATTACTCAGGGAATCTCTTAATCTTTTCATGCCCTGCACTTTTAAAAATTTTTATTGGTAAATTGTTACAGTACATACTGATCACATTCCTTGTGGGGTGTTGGTACATGCACCAACACACATCTTAATTATTATTAGTTTTTTTGAGACAGGGTCTCACTATGTAGTTCAGGCTACCCTCAGACTTGTGGCAGGACCCTCCTGCTTTAGCCTGCTAAGTGCTGGAATTATAGCCACCGGCCACCAGGCCCGAGTCAGACTGTTTTAATTAAGTAAACTGTGTAATCTATTTTGAAATCAAAAAGTGTGGGTACTGCTTTCTCAAGACCACTCACAACGTGAGCTTTTTGTGCATGTACAAAATGCCATTGGGATTTTGAAGAGAAATGGCATTGAATTTGTAGATCACTTTGAGTACTGTTAATATTTCAATAGTACTAATTTTTCTAAGCTGTGAACATGGGATTTCTTTCCTTCTGTGTCTCCTTTGATTTCCTTTATCAATGTCACATAGTTTTCAGTGTGCAAGTGTGGTTTCCTTCCAAAACCTCCTGCCCCGGATGGCGCCCCGAGCATCACATCAATCACCCACAACTCCATCAGAATCCAGTTTAGTGGGTTTGAAGCCAGCCACGGCCCCATCGGAGCCTACGCCATTATCCTCAGCACTGGGAAGGGTAAGCAGGTGCCCGCACTGTCTGCACAGAGACCCCAACATGGCCTCATCATGCTTCTGGCGGTGAGACTGGCAGAGTAGCATCCGGATCCACGGGGCTGGAGTGCAGGACGCATGCGCCTATGGCTTCCGGCTTTGGTCCCAGGCCCCAGCCAATTCTCACTCAGCCATGTGCGTGAGAAGAGTCACAGGAGAAATAAGAGGCACAAGTGTGGCTTCCCCTCTGTGCTGCTGACCTACGCAGGTGCAGTCAGACCTGCTGGCCTTGCACTGGAGTTCTCTTACAGCGTTAGGTTTTCTAGGTGGAAAAGTTAGTTTTAATCGACTTTGTTCCTTTTTTTTTCTTTTTTTTGAGGCAAGGTCTCACTATGTAGCTCGGGCTGGCCTTGAAATCACAGTGATCTTCCTGCCTCAGCCTCCTGAATGCTGGAATTACAGGCGTGCATCACCAGGCCTGGCTCCCAACTTTGTTTCCAACACTCAAGACACATGTACAGAAATGTACACACACACACACACACACACACAGGTCCTTACATAGTGACCTTTTCTTAAACTAAAAGGGTTTGCATTTCTTCTAGCACTTTGCAGAGGCATTTTTGGTCACAAGGATACGATTTTAGGATGTCTCTTGAAAGCTGAGTGCGAGTGCTTTGTAGAAGCCTGGATCTAAAGTGCCAAGTCATGGTGTTTGGGGCGATTCTTCAACCTAAATGTGTACAGGCAGGGCCCTTCTGTCACATGCTCCTGTGTCCATGAGGAAGAGAGGGACAAATATGCTCAGCAGTGAGGGGATCCTCAAGGGTAGGCATTTGCTGATGTCAGGAACTTTCAAAAAGTGGTGTTGTGCCAGGTGTGGTGTTGCACACCTGCACTCCCAGTACTCTGGGGGCCGAGACAGGAGAATCACCATGAATTCAAGGCCAACCTGGACTGCATAGTAAGACCCTGTCTCAAAAACCAAAAAGCAAACAAATAAACCAAAAAAGATGTCCAGCTGTCTCTATTTTCTCTTTTTATTTTGGGTCTGTTTATTCTGTTCTGTTGTTTTCCAACAAAGCCTAAATGTAGATCTTTATTGAAGTGTGGACCTTTACTGAAGAGGGCAGGTGATCATACAGGATGACGAAGCTGCCCAGCACTGGCCTGTGATGGACAGAACCACAGGCCCTGGGCCCCCGGGGTGGGCAGGGAATCCCACCCCATCCCAAGGGCAGGCTGACTGATGTTGAGCCAGGTCCTGCTGGTTTTTTGAACCTTTGTTTTTTTAATTTTTCCTGGAAAATGGGCATGATAAGCTTATGCGATGGGATTCATAGTGGTGAAACAAACACCTGTAAGTGAAGTACTGAGAATTTAACGGTTGCAGAACCTGGTGTCAAGGCTGCCTGGGGCAGTGTCATTTAGCTAGGTGCAGACCCAAGTCTCTGCTGTCACTGAGGTTTGCTTTCTGTGTGCCTTCTTAGCTGACTACCCTACTCCAGATATTCTGAGATACACCTATGCCAATTTCAAAAAGGGCACCTCAGATACCTATGTGACATACCTCATATGTATAGAGGACGAGGTGCCGTCCCAGCACTCAACCAGAACCTTGAAATACGAGATCGAAGTTGGCAATGAGTCTATCACAGGGGGCTACTACAATGGCAAACTGGAGCCACTGGGCTCCTACCGGTGAGGCCTTTGGTCCCTGCAGTCCTGACTGAGCTCAGTGTGCTCAGCGCTGTCCTCTCTGGTGGGAATGTGGACCCGCGTCCTCACGGTGTTTTCTGTCCCCGCAGGGTCTGTGTGGCTGGCTTCACCAACATCAATTTCAGCCTTCAGCATGACAGACTCATCAGTGGGGCCGAGAGCTATGTGTCCTTCAGCCCCTACTCGGAGGCTGTGTTCTTGCCTCAGGACCCAGGTAGAGGGGGACAGCAGTCCCGGCCTCAGCTCACATCCCTGGTGAGGTCCTCTGTGGCAGCTGTGTTTCTTATCCCTTGATTGTTTGGCTCTTTGATCTCACCCCTGGGCCCACGTGTCAGGCACACTGCATGACTTTTCCTTAACAGACTCCTTCAACATTTGCAGTCCTGGGAGACTTGGGAATTCTCTTTTCCAACCTCCTTTTAGATATAGGCTGCCAAGGCCCAGAGAAGGGAAGTAACTCTCATGGGCACACAGTGGCTTAGTTGCAGTCCTGCAATTGTGGCCTTGGTGTTACCATTCCTATCTGTGGTTGCAGAGCTAAGTGACAGGGGAACTACTGGGACCTAGAGAGGGTACGTCCCTCAACCCTAGGCCAGAGGCTAATTGATGGGCTTGTTTGCTAGGTTTTCTGGCTTACTAGCTTTTGGTTACTAGAAAGAAATTCCTACTAGAACATATAAAGAATTGAAAAAACCAGAGGCCCCAGATTCAAAGATGCAATCCAAAAATGGGCATCTGAGATGAATACACACTTCTCAGATGAAGAAATATGAATGACAAATAAATACATGAAAAAATGTTCACTATCACTGGTCATTTGAGAAATGCAATCTAAAACAATACTGAGATTCCACCTCACCCCAGAAGAATGGGGTTTTGTATCCCCTGAGCCCAGTGCCATGGTGTGTAACTCCCATGTGTGCATGCCTTGTATATGTGTTACATACACATGTGTATACATGTATCTGCCAGCCCCCTGCTGTGGGGGTTCCATGTGGCCCCTTGTGGATCTTTCACCAGGTGCCTGTGTTTCAACCCCAGGTGTCATCTGTGGAGCTGTGTTTGGATGCATCTTTGGTGCCCTGGTCATTGTGGCTGTGGGAGGCTTCATCTTCTGGAGAAAGAAAAGGTGACATTGCTTATGTGACATATAATCCTCTGCTTTTCAGGGAATCTTTTCTTGTGGGAAATTCCACGCACTTTCACAGCTCTGTGATGAATGGTACAGAGGACAGTTGTGTCCCATGGTCCACAGTGCTCATGGTGTGGCAATCTTCCTTCCTTGCTTGCCTTCCTCCCTGCCCATGTGAAGCCTGTGTATCCATTGGGATTCATTTGCTGCCAAAAAAGACTCTCTGCTTGACACAGCATTTTATGACCCTCCCAGGGCAGTGGACAGTGCTCATAGTACAGCTTTCGCATTAAGTTCTGATTTACTTTTTGGAACTATGAGTCCGTGACTGAGTAAAGATGCTTGATACACACACACACACACACACACACACACACACATCACATTCCTCTGGCTAGGACAATATAACTGACACTTGCAACCTCAAGGAGGAAAGTTTCATTTTGGGTTATGGTTTCAGTGGGTTCTGTCCATTGTTTGTTGGTTCTGAGGCAGAAATGGGGCCTGGTAGAAGAAAGCTGTTCAATCATCACAGCCAGGAAGCAGACAGAAAAGGGAAGAGCCGGGGACAGTGACACATCCTTCCAGGTCACACAACGCATTCAGTGACTGAATCATTAATGGAGAAGTTCACTGATGGGTACAGCATCCCCATGACCCAATTACTTTCCAGAAGCCCACTTTTGAACACTTTTGGGGGGCATTCTAGATCTAAACCATAACATGTGGTAAATAAAAACAAAAACCAAAATACTGTCACAGAAAAAAGTGCTCTGTCATCTCAGCACCTACAGGTAACTACTCATTTCATCCTCTTTTTAAGTGGCTATGGGGTATTTAAACTTGTGGAAGTACTATCACTTATTTAACCAATTTACTGGATGTTTTCAATTTGGGGGCCACAGTTACAAACCCTTCTGCCGGTATCTCTGTGAATGGCCAAGCTGGACAACCGCTAGGTCTGTGGTTGTATGAATTTTCAGTTTTCATAAATGTTGCCAAGTTCTCTTCCAGAACGTAGTTTTTACACCCAGGATGGAGTTGAGCCAGCAACATCAGAGAGCATAGGCGCCCCACCCACACTGGATTTAATACAATGTCTGATTTACTACAATAATGTATTAGGCTTTTCCCCAAAGCAGTGGGAAATAAAGAGCCTTGCTTCACAGTAAGGTAATTCCACTGATGCATACTACAAGGAAATTCCTAATGCTGGCTGCAGTAAGACTGTTTGTGGTAGAATAAAAGTGACTGGTTTACAGCTTCATAATTGGCTTTTGCTGCTTGACCCTTAAGCTGAGTGAGCCAGTGCCTGGGGAAAGGCATTTGTTAGACACACTGGAGGGGGAGATGCAGAGGGAAGCTTTTTGCCTCTAACTGGCCTTTTGTTTCTTTTCAACACAGGAAAGAGGCAAAGAACAGTGATGTGTCCTTTTCCCAAATTAAGTAAGTCTCTAGAATTAGGATCAAGACTCACGTTCTGGGTCTGTTCTGCGACCATACTGGTTGAACCTTTTGTCATTTTCCTGATTGATCACCTGGAAGTTCTCAGTAGTTTCATTTTGCAGTAAGGGACCTGTGATTTATATTGACTTCCTGAAGCAAGAGCCCTTACCATTTTCTACAGTTTTACATATATATTTAATAGTAGGTATATGCGAATATCATAGTTACCTTCATTTGGGGGTGCAGGGCTTGGTATATGAATATAGTATATTTGGTAATATGTATTTTATGATTTAAAAAAATTGACAGCGTTATCAAGATCTAGGGGAGGGCAGAAGTTATGTAAACTCACAAATATGACTATTTCATACAACAGAGGTGAATTTCCCGATTCCATTTTCGGTATTTGGTGAATAATAATATTCTCACCTGTACTCCTTGACCCCTCCCCCATCACAGTCTAGTTTTTGTTACTCTGGGAAGATATTTATTTCCTAACAAATGACTTTTTATAATCTACTATGTTTTTTTCTTTCCTTTCCTGTGATAAAGGCCTAAAAAGTAAGTAACTTCTTTACTTTTTATACATAACTTAGATTTCTCTACTTGGAATGCACACTCTGTGAATGTAAAGAAAATCCTGACAGCTTGTTTTGCTCCCTTAGGCCCAAGTTGATCAGAGTGGAGAATTTTGAGGCTTATTTTAAGAAGCAGCATGCCGATTCCAACTGCGGGCTTGTGTAGGAGTATGAAGTACAGGGCTGTAGTATCGTGTGTGTTTTTCTTTTTTCTTTTTTTTTAAAATTTTATTTAAAAGGAAAAAGAGAAATAACAAAACAAAACAAAGCAGTATAAGGGTACAAGTAATACAGAACTACAAAAAAAAAAAAAAAACAGTAAGAAATCACCGGTTAATAGATTACATATTATCATCTTAGAGATAGTTGCTCAAATCACAGTATCAAAGCATACAAAGTGGACACTCAAACAGTGAGACTGCAAACAGTTGTGTTCAATGATCCAACCAAAAACATTAATATGGTCAGCTATTTAACACCCCTAAAGACTCTTGCTGTTGTATCATTTAGAACTCTTTTTTTCCCTCTCTTTTTTACAACAAAATTTACACATTTTGGGTTTTATTACTCCTTAGTTCTTATTACTTTTTTTGTGGGGGGAGAGAATAAAGTCAAATATGGCAAAACAAAGCTGTCAGTCAAACCAAGTATAGACATAGCACATGATGTAAAACAGAGTACAAGGTTATCAACAATGGTTATCAACAATGTCTCTTGTTGCCTTAAAAAGAATTGTCTATCTCATTAGATATTATAAAGTTGAACAAAACAGTAGAGAACAAGACCAATAAAACTTAAGCATTGTAAACATTACAGGACTTCCAAAGGAGGCAATAGTCAAACCAGAATGGGCATCTTAGTGAATCTTCTTGCCTTCAAAGTAGTACTATACCCTCAAACTTGATACTATCATACAGAATGGAACAGAGTCTAATCAGTCAAAACAAGATCGTGGGAGTATTACAGGACTTCAAAACAAGTTAATAGGAAATCAAAAAAGTTACTATTATATACCCTGCTAATTTTTAAAATTTTTCCCCTTAATTAAAAAAAACATAAAAAATAACTAAATAATTTTTTAATGAATAAGGGAGAGATTGAGATAAAACAGGACATAACAATATAACAATACAGGTCAAAGCATGACTGTTTCAGCAACCTAGTGGTTCACCACCAAATAACCCAACTTAATAGTAATTACCATAGTGTCTGTCTTTTTCCTTGAAATATTTGAATAAAACTTCATATAGTATAGCTTCAAGTATTTCCATATCAAGAAGCCCAGAATAAAGCCTTTCCAACTAATAAGTGAAAACTTTATAAGGCTTCAAGGCCACATAATGGGGAATCATGATCGTGTGTGTTTTTCATCGTTTTTTGATTCTTTCTGAATGTTGGGAACTATTTTTCTCTTATGGCCAATCTTTGGGTTTGGGCAACTTCCTGGAGCGGGGAGAAGTTCCAGTCCATCGCCTGGAGCCCTACTCTGGCCCCTGAGTGCTCCCACTGACGTTGGCTTTTAGCAAATTGTATGTTTTTGTTTTGTTTCTCTGGTACTGAGCTTTGAACCCAGGGCCTTCCCACTGAGCTACATCTCCATCCTTTTTATTTTTTACTTTTTAATTGTGTTGTTGAGTTGCCAAGTCTGGGATCAAAGTTTCAGTCCCAGAGTGTTGGGATTACAATTAGGCATGGCTTTGTCCTTCTGCCTTTGTTTAAATCTTTGGGTTCCTTTCTTGTGGCTGCCATAACAAAAGTACCATAAGATGTGTGCTTTAAAACAATAGAGAGGGATTGTAGCTGTAGAGGCCAGAAATCCCAATCTTGGTATTGGCTGGGCCCGGCTCTTTCCTGGGTGTCTTGTGGTCGGGCCCTGCTCGTCAGGTCCAGCTGCTGGTAGCTGTGTGCCCTCTGTTTTGTGGCAGGGCATTCCTATCTCTGCCTCTGTTTCCCCGAGGTGTCTCATCTTGTTGCCTACATCTTGTTGCCTCTTTTCCTCCTGTGTGGGTGCTGCCCACATGGGATTAATGTCCCCTGCTTGTGACTACCAGCCTGCTCTGCCCACTTCTATCCAGAGCTGTATAAACTGAGAAGAGCTGAGAGATAAGTAGGCAGACAGGTTACATCTGCAAAGACCCAGTTTCCCATGAGGGCCTTCCTGGGGCTAGAAATTCAGTTTGTTTCAGGGGCACAAGTGAACCCTTAGCCCGCTGTATCCCCACTCTGTTCTACCTGGTATAAATAGTACTTGAAGGCTAAATAGATAAACAACTTCTTTTTCTTACTTCAGGATCTGAAGCTGGTTGGAATCAGTTTGCCTAAATATGTGGCTGAGCTGGCTTAGAACAGAGGGAAGGATTGCTACAGCAGTGTCCTGCCCTGTGAGTGAGCATCCCATGCCACGTCCCCTTCTGCCTGTCACATCTGTGAGAGTCAAGGTGAGCCGTCCATTAGTCACCTGTCATATGCCAAGTGCTGCCCAGAGGAACGTGACCCTTAATTTAATCCTCACAATCTTCCTGTGCACAAGTCGGGAGTGGGAAGTTTATTTTACAGATAAGGAAACTGAGGCCTGATGTGGAGGTGATTTCTTTTTCCTGAGGTCAGGTAATAATGGCAAAACCAGGCTGTGGGCCAGTTCTGAGAGTCTCATTCAGGGAAAAGGACAGAATTGGGCTCCTATGTGTCTGGGTGAGTTACTTTTACATTGCAGGGACACAACACCTGACACCTCCATAACTCAAAGCAGGGGAGATTTATTTCGGTTAACATTTTTAGTACATGATCGGCTGGCTCTAGCACAGAAAGAGCATGACAAATGAGGTCTGGTAGAGAAGATCTGCTCTCCTCATGGTGGCCAGGAAGCAGAGAGAGGGGCAGAGCCAGTGAGAGAGGTATATATATCCGGGTCATGTCCCTGGTAACCTCCCTCCCTGCCCTACCCCTCCTCCTAACGTCACATTTAGCTGGAGCATCCTCATGACTCAGCCACCTTTCAGAAGCCCCACTGATGAGTGCCTGAGGCTTTAAAGGGACATTAAAATACCAACCGTGGGCTATGTATCGTGTATCTACCTACCTGTCTATTTATCTTTCAGCTCTTCTTCTCAGTTTATACAGCTCTGGATAGAAGTGGGCAGAGCACGCTGGTAGTCACACTTTCTGTTTGTCCAGATATATCTGTGATAGGTTCCTTCATCTGTAAAACAGGGCAAACACTTGTAGGGCAGTTTTTTGGAGAAAAAAGTAAACTTGCTTAACCTACTTTCTGCTCATGATGGACCAGCATGGCAGCTGATAGTAGTCAGCTTGTTTGGTTTGAGATGGGCGGGTGTATCAGTCAGCCTTCCTTGCCAAGACACAGCACCAGACTGCCATGGGGTAAGGTAGGAGAGGTTAACTTGGTGCATGGTCTCAGGACATTCAGTCCATGGTTGGCCGGCTCCAAGGCAGGAGCTTCATGGTGGACAGGGCCTGGCACAGAAGAGCTGCTCAGCTCACAGTGGCTGGAAAGTAGAACAGGGGGATGTATGTTTTTCTTTTCTGGGTGTAGCTTCCCTAAAATATTTGTTTCTAACAAGGTCCTTTCCTCTTTTTCAGATGATACTTCCTGTGTCAATCTTTCAGTCCAGACCCATTCCACAGATGACTACATCAATGCCAACTACATGCCTGTAAGTGGGCACCAGGTCCTTGCTATGAGCCCTTCATGGTGTCTTCTCCTGTGCCCTTGATGCTGAATCTGTGTCTTCTGTCCTAAGGGCTACCATTCCAAGAGAGATTTTATTGCCACACAAGGGTCTTTGGTCAATACTTTGAAAGAGTTTTGGCATATGGTCTGGGAGAAAATATGCCATTGTTATGTTGACCAAATGTGTTGAACAGGGAAGGGTAAGTTTTTTTGTTTTAAAATTTCATATTAAATTAATTCTCATTATGTTAGAAGGTCTTTAAGTATCTTTGAAAACTTTTGTCTTCTTAAAATACTACTCTCAAACATGGGTATCTTTATCCTTAGAAATTTGTTTTCCGTCTTTTAATGTCCTTGCTGGGATAGCAAATAGCAGGAGTGGTAACTATGACCCAGGTCCAGGGTGAGCTGCTGCTTGGCTCGAAATCACGTTTTGTGCAGAAATGGTGGTGCGGCAGATCTGAGTTTTATGAGAAAACTCCCCATTTTCAAAGAGTTGTAAGAGTTTTAAATTAAAAGCAAGCAAATCATTCTAAGAAGCACAGAGCTCCCAGGCAGGGGCCTGACTCAGTCCTCAGTGCCAGTTTCCTTACCTGCTCTCCCTTTTTGTTTTTGAGACAGGGTCTTAGTAAGTAGTTCAGGCTGTTCTTGAACTCACTTTGTAGACCAGGCTGGCCTCAGACTTGTGACAGTCCTCCTGCCTCAGCCTCCTGAGTGCTGGGATTACAGGCGTGCGCCACCGTGCCTGGCTCCCCTGGTCTTGATTTTGAGTCTGTAATCAATGGCAGGTGGTGTGATCTATGCGTTTTCATACAAATGCAATTTTATTTTAGACCCAATGTGAAATGGCCTTCTAAGCAGGCCCAGGACTACGTGGACATAACGTGGCAATGACAGCAGAAATTGTTCTCCAAGAGTGGATCATCAGAGATTTCACAGTGAAAAATGTAAGTTAAGAGGCCAAAGTGGCTGCATCTTAGGAATTGTGATCTATGAACTTTGGGATGTGTTTTAAGTTGCTATTAACTAATGTGTTATTTTGTGTATTAGATAAATGCTCACTTTGTGTTCTACACAATAAAGCAATCCACTTAATGTGTACTCCAAGCAGCCAATAGTTTCACTATCTTGAGGGAAATTTCACACTTTTCCTGAAGAAAGTGAATCTCAAGGGCATGGCTCTAGCAGTAGCCCTTCCTTTCCTTCCATTCCCAAGAGACTTGCTCACGGGATTTTTGTCATGAGGCAAGGCCTTTTGAATTACTTGCTTGGGGATATGGCAACAGGAGGGGCCATTTACTGTCAGGAGCAGTTTATAACAGATGCATACAGTGGGGTTCGGTTCACAATTCATTCCATGATTCTGAGGACGATGGTGCTCTCCTGTCCATCAGCCAATGCAGAGTTTAGGAATGGAAGGAAAATTTTGGTGAATGCTGATGTTCCTGAACCAAATTGTTCATGAACAGAGGCATTCGTGAACCAAGGCATCAGTGTAGTAGGATTCCTGGGCATAAGCACCGTCTTAGTAACTTTTCTCTTGTTGCTGATTCAAAATACCTGACACCCAAATTAAAGGAGGAGAGGTTTATTTGACTCACAGTTTGTAGAGGTTTCAGTGCATCATTGACTGGCTTCAAGACAGGGTGATAGAGCAGAGGAGCAACAGTTCATGGTGGCAGAAGACAGTAAAAGCTGGCAAGGGAGAGACAAGACTCTTTCTGTCCCTTATATTGTATGCAGGTTACCCGCCCCAGGACACCCTTAATCTTAGCCAGAACTATGTCAACCCAATCAGTGGACTGATTCAGTAATCCCACACCCTCCATCCCAGCATCACACATTTTAGATCTAGCAACCTCTAAGAAAACCTTAGGACCACATTAGGCTTTGGGGGACATCTAGACACAAGCCATAACAATTGCAATGGCTTCTTTATCCCCCAAAGTGACAACTAAATCATTTCAATCAGGGAGACATTTCAGGAAGTCAGGTTTGTGTCCTTTCTCTCTTTTTAAAGGTGTTTGAGTGAGGCAGTGCCATGAAGAGACTCTGATCTCTACTCATGGATGTGGGGCTGCATCTAAGCCTTTGCAGTTTACATCCAGGGCATAAAATGTGCATCCCCTTTGATCAGGTGGATTTAAGTCTGTGGTCCAGATAGATAATCCAAAACCAGGGATAGAATTATTTGTCAAAGAGATGAACACCAGCATTATTTGGAGGAAAAGATTGGAAACCATGCAAACACCCAGATTTTCAAGAATGAATAACTAAACAATGACTTCATGGCTTACAGAGTCACTGTTTAGCTGGGAGAAGGGTCAAACATGTATACTACACCATCAGCCTTCTTTGTCCATGGGTTCTACATCTGTGAATTCAGTCAAGTTGGGTTCAAAATTATTTGGAGCAAAAACAAAAAACAATTACATCTGTACTGAACACGTACACAGCATAACTACTGTTTACATGGCGTTAACATTGTAGTTTAGATACCATTAACATTTATATTATGTTTTAGATATTATGACAATTCAGAGATTTTTTTTTTGTCTTTTTGGACAAGGTTTTTCTCTGCAGTTCAAGTTGGCTTTGAACTCACTTTGTAGTCCAGGTTGGCCTTGAATTCACAGTGATCCTCCTGCCTCTGTGTCCTGAGTACTGTGATTACAGGTGTGTGCCACCAAGCCTAGCCTCAGAGATGATTTAAAGTATCACTCCATGTTACTGAAAGGCAGGGAGGCATCCTGAGAAACGTGGAAGGCATGTGCAGAAACCCAGATGGTACCACCTGCAACATACCTGTGCTCAGCATACATCCGTCACGTGTGTATGCTGTCATTGGCTGAAACATTTTGAACGCCTCAGAACCAGAGTGTGCAGGTGGGCTGTATGCAGATGCTATGCTGTTTTACTTAAGGGGGTAGAGCTGGCATGGATTTTCATGTCTGAGGGGTCCTGGACCCACTGTCCCCAGGTACTGAGCCATGACTGTAATTAGTTACTTGTACAGGGGAACGAAACTCCCAGTGTACTGTATGCCCAGTATGGGTTCATGTTTTCTAAAATTGCAGAATGAATTTTAGGAACAATGGAGTTTAATAGCAGAATATATTTATTGAAAGAAAGTTTCTGTCTGAGAGAGAGACAAAGGGGTCCTGAATGAGTTGCCAAGGATTCTTGTCTTTTCCAGAGATTTTTTTAGAGTGAAACCACAAAATGGGCAGGTCTCAGGTGGGGAAAACACCTGAGGAACTCGCAAGCTGGGCATGAGGTGAGACATGGTCAACCAATAAGAATAACTGCATAAGTAAAACTGGTTAAATTGGGGACAAATGGGGAAGTGAATTACATAGCAAGTGGGCATCTAGGGGGTTTGGATGGTGACTCCTGGTTTCCTCAAGGTGATTCATATCTATTTAGAGTATCAATCCTTGATGCTTACCTTTAGGAATTATGTGGGTGCACTTGATTTATCTTTTGTCTTGAGGTCTGTCCCACAGTGGAGGTGTCTGCCTCCCCCACAGTTGCAGGGTATCCGGCTTTCTGCACTGGTTCCTCCGAGGGCCCAGCCCTGTCTGACTCCCTATAATATTTCTATCTAACTCAGGTGGCTGTCACAGTAGAATGCAGTGTAACTGAGACACATTCTGAGACCGAGGGTCATGCAGATGGTGTAAAGCCTGGAAGTAGAAAGGGTGAATCTTACCAGGGTGATGGGCTGGGTTGTAGTTTATAAGAGTTATCCTGGAAGAATAAGTCATGGGTGAAGTGGAGTCTATGAAAAGCTCTTTCTCACCCCCTACTAACTGCTGTGGCTGAAAGAGTCTGGGCCATTCCATTTCCTCCTCCAGAGGCTGCATTTCCTGCTGTTACCTGCACTGATTTGGCCACCAGAGTCATTGAGTTCCCAGTAACTACAACACCTTTGAAAGGCACCTGCCCATTTCTGCAGGTTTTGTGCATTTCACCAGACTCCTTTGCCCTAGTTGGAGTTAGCTCTTGTTGGGGGAATGGTGTGCGGAACCGACCACATTGTTTAGAAAAATTGTTCTTGCTGGGTGGGTGGGGTAGTGTGCATCTGTCGTCCCAGAGTCCTGGAAGCTGACACAGGAAGCCCAGACTGGGAAATTTAGCAATTTAGGGAGATTGTCTCAAAATGAAAATAAGAAAAGGCTAGAGGTGTAGCTCAGTGTGGAGGCCTGGGTTTAAGCTCCAGTTAAAAAATTTTTTTTTGCTGTGACTTTTAAAAAAAATAAACTCAGATCTCCTATTTCTAATAAAGCTTTTTTAGATTATAGGAGTCAATCTAGGATCTTATGTGACATTTAGTAAAATATTATTCTTTTAATGACACAAAAGGCACCAATACATTTACTTTTTAAACCGCAGAATGATGCAGATGAGGCTTAGCTGCCTGGTGCCCTGCATGTCCCCTCAGTGTGTGGCTGCCTGAGGCTCCCACCCTTGCACCCTATAGGCTCCAGGTGCAGTGGGGTAGTCCCTGCGCACATGCCAAGCCTCATGCTGTATTTGGTGAATCACCTCTGGTTTTGCGGTCGAGACGTTCCCAGGAGGGTCCTGGGTTCTCGGGGCTCTATGGAGGTGCTGGTGTAAGACGTGAATCTGTCACTGGCTGGAAGCCAGAGAGGGGGCGAAAACTGAACTCGGACCCAGAGTGCTCAGTACCTTGCTGACTCAGGGATAGGACAAGTGGGAGGAATTCAGTCCACTTCCCCGAATCTTTGCTCCTTATTATTTTGGTGGGGGTGAGGGGGACTGGAGTTGAACCTGGAAGCCTTCATACTGAGCTACATCCTCAGCTTATTTCATTTTTTTATTTTAAAACTTTGAGACAGGATCTCATTGTGTCTCTAGGTTGTCAAAGCTTGGCTTGAATTTGCAATCCTCCTGCCTCAGCCTCCTGGAGTGCTGGGCTGGCAGATGTGCACCACCCCATCTGGTTTTCTTGCTCCTCTCAGGAGGTGGTGTTCAACCCTCCTTCTTGGGTGTGTTAGGAGGGTTCTGTGAGCAAGACAAAGTGTGCAAGCACCCCTGTGACTGGAGTGCGAGTGTAAATGTTTGATTTCTAGCCTAACCGTCCTGTGTACCTGCCATTTGTCCCTGGCATTCATTGTCCTGACTTTTCTTCCCTTTCCTGGTAGCCCATGCCTCTGCCTCTCACCCCTCTGTTGACTTGTAGGTGCAGACAAGTGACAGTCACTGGCTGAGACAGTTCCATTTCACCTCTTAACTGGACCACGATGTCCCAGACACCACAGATCTGCTGATCAACTTCCGGTACCTAGTTCGGGACTACATGAAGCAGAGTCCTCCACAGTCCCCGATTCTCGTGCACTGCAGGTAGGAGCGATGCTTGGCTGTGATGGCTCAAGTACACCCAGGCATTTCTCAGCGCTGCAGAAATGCGCTAGGCGTTTATGATTCAAGAAAAAGGTTTCAGGAAGTCCATGCACGACTTATTCCCTAGGCCCTGAGATTAGTACGGGGCTTGGTGAACCGCAGCCTGTGGCCAGATCTGTTGTCACTGCAGCAGCTGTGCCCTCAGTTTGCATGTTGTTAAGTGGCTATGTTTGTGCCATAGTGGCAGGAACCATGCGTTCTATGGAGCTGAAGATATTTATTGTCTACAGAAAAGTGTACCCATTATTACTCTAGAACAATAAGAAATTAGCTTTGAAATTAAAGGATTTAAGATAGGCCTGGTAGCACACTGTAATCCCAGCACTTGGGAGGCTGAGGCAAGGGAATTGCCTCAAATTTGAAGCTGGCCTGGGCTACATAGTGAGTTCAAAGCCAGCCTGAACTATATAGTGAGATTGCATCTCCAACAAACAACCCCCTGCCAATAACGGAATTAACTTAGGGCAGAAGAAGAGCTTTGATGCCTGCAGGGTACAGATGGATAGAATTGGCCCTTCTAGGTTACCCTAGCAACTCGAATGGGACTGAGATTTAAGAAGTCTAACATGGCGCCTTACTTGTGGCCCTGAGTTCAAAAGTGGGTTTGGGACTGAGGCCTCAATGCCAGATAGTGAAGCCTGACTCACTGAGGTTTGCAGGGGGCAGTGTTTGCTCAGATCCCAGGCCACAGGAGCCTGCAGCTGTTTAGATGGGGTCAGCCTGGACCCCAGGTAGGGGGTACCGCTAATGCACTGCTTCCCCTTCCTTTCAGCGCTGGCGTTGGCAGGACGGGCACTTTCATTGCTGTTGATCACCGATCGAGAACGAGAACACTGTGGATGTGTATGGCATTGTGTATGACCTCCACATGCATCGCCCACTCATGGTGCAGACCGAGGTGAGAGACCAGCCCTCCCTGCTCCCATCCCTGGCCCCTGTGACTCCCGACTGGGGTGCAATAGCTCACCTTTCTTGGCCTCTGGCTTTCTGTGAGTGCTGCTGGATTTCTTGGCAGGCTCTAAGCTGAGCTGAACTAAATGGCCCTCCACAGGTGGCGCAGTAGGACTGGAGTCAGGAAGGGAGTTGCTGACTTTCATCCTCCGCACATTCTGTACCCTACCCCTTTGACTTGAATAATCTTCCCAAGTCTCCAGACTTTGGCTTCTGGGCTTAAATTTATGAAACTGATTTGTTTCACTCTTTGTTTCTAAGCAGGTACGACTGTCTTTTAAAATATGCGGATGAAATAGGTTTATCAAGCTAGATGTGGTGGCATGTGCTTGTAATCCCAGCACTTTGGGAGGCTGAGGCAGGAGGATTGCAGCCTAGGCAATTTAGTGACTTTACTGATTGTCTCCAAATAAAAAATAACAAAGGCTAGGGATGTAGCTCAATGTAAAGACCCTGGATTAATCCCTGGTACCAAAAACAAACAAAACAAAGCAAAGCAAAGCAAAACAAGCGTATGGCATTTAAGCATTAAGCAGTTTATCCTCACACAGCCCTGTAAGTGTGACAGAAAGGAAGTCATCATGAGTGCCAAGGTGGGGCTGCAGGAGAGAGCACCCTGCTGGTCGGTCTGTCTTTTTGGGAGTGCTCCCAGCGAAGAGAGCTGGGAACCTTTTCATCCAGTCCAGTGGGTGCTCTCGGGGTGATTGTGTGCCATGTGACCAGGATGGAATCTTTACTTTACAGCAGGCCTCGGCCCTGAGCTTTGGAGACCTTGTGTGCAGCCTAGGAGGGCAGGTTCCGGAGTCTGGTGCCCTGCACACTTTGGTTTGGCACCCGGAAGCAGGGAAGTTTCATTCCTGAGTTGGTCAGGAGGAGGACATTTGTGTGTTCGGCTCCATTTATGCCAAATAGTGCTTCTTAATCTCTTAACACTCCTCTGAGAAACAGAAATTTTGTGCTGCAGATGCTTGTCTCATCTCTTTTTCTATAATTTGAAAACAGTAATCAGTCATATATGTGTTTTTGAGACAGAGTCTTACTATATAGTTTAGGCCAACCTTGAATTCATGGAGATTCTCCTGCCTCATGTTAGAATATATTTTTCCCTTTTACTCCAACCTGACCCCCCTGCCAGTACTGCTCCCTAGAGGTAGGCAATATGTGTATTTTTATTTACTTATTTTTTTGTACCTGATATTTAGCCTAGACTCTTTGTACTGAGCTATCTTCCAGCCCTTCTTGTCATTGTTACTGCTGTTTTTTGAGGGAGGGTCTCACTACATAGTCCAAGTTATACTTGAACTCACTCTGTAGCTCAGACTGGCCTCAAACTCACAATGATCCTCCTGCCTCATGGGTATGTATTATTAGAAGTCTCTTTTTAAATTGTTATTAATACACACATTCGGGATCGCATTTCACTGTGGGGAGCTGGTACCTGTACATCATGCATCCTACTTCTTTTTGGTTCCCTGCCCTCCTTCCCGCTTCCTTCCATCCCTAGGTCCCCTTCCCATTTACAAAAGATCTATCTGTTTCCTACTGGTTATCTTCTCTTCTGCTCTTTAAATTATTACACTTGGGGCTTCTCACAGAAGAGAAGTAATTCCATATTTAAGCTAACATGTCTGATTTATTTCACTTCATGGTGTAGTCTCAAGGTGCATGCGCGTTTATAAACACGAATGTGTTTGTGTGTGCGTGCGCACTCACGGGAAGTATTTGGAAGAAATCATGTTCTGTTTTGAATGTGACACTTCCTCATGATGTCTTCCTCTATGGTATCACAGATGTCTTTCTGTGTCAGCGTATGCTCCTTCTGCCTTTTTTAATAGTGACCTGTGGCTCCCAACAGCTTGTCCAAATGTGGTCCCCAAACAAGTCTGCTGGATCATCATTCATCTATATCTATATCTATATCTATATCTATATCTATATCTATATCTATCTATCTATCTATCTATCTATTTGTTGTTGTTTGGTTTTTTGAGATAGGGTCTCGCTGTGTAGTTCCAGCTGGCCATGAACTCACAGGGTTCCTCCTGTCCCAACCTCCCAAGTGCTAGGGTTACAGATGTGGGCCTCCCTGCCCAGCCCATTGGCTTTGAAGGAACCACCACTGTTAAGAATTTCAAGTTCCTTTCACTCCACAGGACATGGCTTAAGGTAGTCATGCTAACCCCACTGCTGAGAAGCCTTTTCTGCCTTCTGCATATTCTCAGGTGTCTGCTTGGGGCCAGAGAGGAGACCGTGTCCTCTCCTGAGAATGGCTCATAATGAATCTTGTCTGTGCCTTCTGATTTTCACCGAGTCTTACGGCCTTGTATATACACCCTCAACCCCTAGCCATTAGCTGTTGGGCAGATGGGGCTTAGGCGATGGCCATCTGTGTGAGTGGAGTTTGGGGACTCCTCCTGGGGCCTTGGGCTCATTTGCTTTCTCTCTACCCCTGTTGCCCTCAGGATCAGTATGCTTTCCTCAACCAATGTGTCTTGGATATAGTCCGATCACAGAGAGACTCCAAAGTGGATCTCATCTACCAGAATACCACTGCAATGACCATCTAAGAGAACCTGGAGCCGGGAGGCAAGTTCGGAAAGACCAATGGTTGTATCGCCTGAGTCCAAAGCAGAGGCCCTGGAGGGCAGCCGGACATCACCCCCACAGCCACAGAGAATGCCCCGGTCCACTTGTTTTCTTGTGTCTCAAATCTCGGTTCTCTTTTGTGTTCTGCTAGGAGCCGGCTGTGGGCAGGGTGTGAAGCCAAGCTGGTGAAACCTGGCAGCCACAAGGTGCAGCTGGGGCCGTGCGCTGTGGTGGGGGCGGGGAGCCAATTGCTCACATTCCTCATGACCAATAGGAAAAGCTCATTTGCCGTTTTTCTTGGAATTTGTGGAAAACCAGAAAAAGTGAGCTAGGATTTTTTTTTTTTTTTCAAAACAGGTTCTTTAAAAAAAATAACAGCAAAAGACATTTTCTGTGATTCACATGCTTCTGCCAGGATTGTGTTGGGTTGACTATATTTTAAGTATCAGAGGTCTGTTTTTACCCACTGTGTCTTGGGATTGAGCTGATGGAAAACACACAATTACAGGCGGTTCTTGTGTCAGGAGGGGTAAGTGGCACCTCTTCCGGTTGGGTTTTCTATTTGAACATGTGCCTTTTCTGAATTATGCTTCCACAAGCAAAACTCAGTAGATTTCTCTATTTTTGTACTGCATCTCATGATTGGAATATACGAAATATTTAAACAGTAGTTTAGCAGGGAGATTCACCTTGTAAAATTCGGGTTTTCACTGATGAGAAGAGACCCCTTCCTTGCCCCTCCCAGTTTCCTGCAGAGACTTCCGTTGCAAAATTTCCAGCCCATTGACTGGGTGAGAATGGAAACTAAGTATATCAGGGCCTCCCTGCGGGAGTCCTCAGCTACCAAACTCCTGTTCTCCATACTGTCTTCTTTCTTTTCTCCTTTTCTGTCTTTGGTAAAAAGGATTATTTAAAGGTAGATATGTAACTTGTGATTCCTGATGCTCTGAGTTTCTAGTAACCTTTTACTCAGGTTGGGATTTTTAATGTGTGCCTGTGTGTCTGTGTACATGTGTGCGTGTGTGTGCCTTTTGAAAAGCGTGGCAATCTGTGAACACTTCAGTGTGAATTCAGTGTCAGATGAATCCCTCCTTCCCTGAAGTCCACTGGTTTTAGTCTTTGTCTGCAGTGACACACATTGGTATCTACTGTGTATATAAATCCCAAACCCCCTACATCAGTCAATCCTAGGAATTGAGGTGTACAAAGTTTGATTTGCATTAAAGATGTAATTATTATTTTTAAAACCTCTTTTCACTCTACTGCTGCTGTAATTACTTTGATTTCTTTTTAAAATGTAGATTATTATTATTATTTTTGGCTTCAGGTTGTGTATTCACCAAAGGATATCTGAATTTGTATGGGTGTATTTTATTGTTACCTAATCTGTAAACTTGGCAAGGCATTAACATGAAAGGATTGATTTCTTTTCTTTTACGCTGTGGCTGAGGTTATATGTGGAAGATGTTTTGAGTTTCTTCTTCAATAGGCAATGAAGTATCCACGGTGAGATGAAGGAATCATCAAGTCCTGGAAGCCTGTGGCCGCTTTCCACTCAGGACTCAGGTTTCCTGTTGAAAACAGGCTGGGGGGCCTTTGGTGGCCTGGTCCCTGTGGGCCCTAGTGGGCCTCTGTCCTGTCTGGATGCTGCTGGGCTCTGCACTTCCCCTGCACTTTGATGACAGCCCGGAGATATTAATGGGTATCTGAGGGCTCTGAAGGGTATACCGCAATGGACCTGAGACCCTGAAGTTGTTCCCATTTTGTGCTGTCTCTGACCCCCACCCCTGCTCCTTGGAGGTACTGAAAGGTGGGATCGTGGCAGTGTCATATTTGGTGGAGAATTTTACTTCTCAAATGGAAATTGTACTTTCTGCAAATCCTTTGCATTTGTTAGTGTTAAGAGGTTCACTCTGTTTCAGCTCCTTCCAGGAATGGGTGGGTGGGCCCAGCTGGCTTGGGTTCCCTGGCTGGCCTGTAGAAAGCAGGCTTTGGGCAGGTTGTGCCCCACTCAGGCAGACTGAGGGGCTCTAGAGCTTCCCCTCAGCTCCCTGTGAGCCATGCTCCTTCCATTTGTCAGGAACCCCCTGGGAGGGAGCATCCTCAGCCCTCCTCCATTTTCACTGATCTTGAGAGTCAGAGGAAAGGCTTTGCCCCTTCAAAAGAGTAAAGCAACATAATTGTAAACATATTGTATAAATGTGAAGGCTGGACATAGCGGCGTGTGGCTGTCATCCCAGAACTTGGGAGTCTGAGGCAGGAGGATCTCTGTGAGTTTGAGGCCGGCCTGGACTACATAGTGAATTCAAGGCATCCTGCACTGCATAGTGAGACTGTCTTAAAAAAACAAAAACACAAAACTCCAGGAACCCTCCTCCCTTTTGCCTGGGCTGGGCTTGGGAAGTATTTGGGCAGCTGCTGCAGTGAGCCCCCTTAGTCATCGTCAGACCCGGAGGAAGGCTACAGTGAGGAGGACTGGAATTCACGGGGAAGGTCACACGAAGGCCACGATGCTCCTGAGAGGCCTAGGATGGGCTCTGGGGCTGGTAGGTTATTTATAACACAGCCTCTGGAAAGGGAAGATTCATGTTTAAATGGGAGAACACCAGACTGGGCAAGACAAGGGCACCACTGAGCTCTGCTGGCTCTCCCAAGATCAGTGACTGGACACGGGAAGCCTCTGGTGGCCCCACTGAGTTGGTGCAGGCTCCATGCAGCGAAGCAACCAGTGAGGGCTTTGAGTTCCACCAAAGCGCACCTGGGCCATGGCTTCCTGCCCCAAGAACAAAGACTGTCTGCCTCCAAAGCTGAGTCTCGTGACCGAGGGCACTGGGCTGGCATCTGTTCCCCAGGGTCACCCTGTGACCCCAGCATTGACCTGGCCCCCCGTTGCTGCCACTGGATTTGTGCTTTGTGCAGTGAGAGGCTCTGGGAGTGGGGGTGGGTCACTGAGGCTGAGGATTCCTATTTTTTTGTTTTCATCGGGAATGAAAAAGTTGTTTTCTTTTGCAATGCTCTTGTTGAACTCAGCAGGTCTGGAGAGCAGATGTGGATTTAGCTCAGAAGTGAGGGTTCTGAGTTTGCAGACTACTGGGGGCGTCGCCTGTCTAAGTATGCAGCTTGTTCCCCCTGGGGGAGCATATATTACTAGGATGTGTTGATGTGGACATTAAATTATAATTTTCTTGTAACTATTTTGGAATCACGCATATTTCTAATGTTTGTTATACTTGTACAGTGTATCACTGTGGGTTGCTTTTCTTTTTTTGTTTTCTAAAGGAAAAAATGGCCTGGAAAAAATTTTTATAAAAAAAGACTTCCAAATACCAAATATAAAAACTGTTGACACAAGATGCCTTCATTTCTTTCTTTCCTTTCCCCCAGTGCCTCACTTTATGTACCTGTTGTAAACTGCTTTGGTGGGTAATCTGCAGCTGTGTGTATCCTCGGCAAAAACACTCGGATTTCCCTTTGGGATTGCCACATAGCATTAGATTTCTGAAGCTGCCCTTGTAAATACCACAGATTGGCTTGTTTAAACAAAAAGAATGTATTTTCTCACAATTCTGGAGGCAAGGGCTCAGAGGTCAGGGTGTCACAGGCCTTTCTGTGTCCTTGCATGGTGCCCTCTTTGTGCCTGTCCAATCTCTTCTTTCTTTAGGTCAAGCTGGTCTTGAGCTCACTATGGAGCCCAGGCTGGCCTCAAACTTGCAGAGATCCTTCTGCCTCAGTCTCTTAAGTGCTGGGATCCCAGGGGGGGATTTTTTTTTTTCTGGACAATTTTCATCTCTTTATATGAGGACTCCACCAGTTTGGATTAGGGGCTCACCTTTCACTACCTCACTTTTTCTCAAGGATCTCTTTAAAGGCTCCATCTTCCAGTGCAGGTCCACTCTGAGGATGGGGGTGCAGATGTCCACATGACTTGGCGGGGGCACAGTTTGGCCCTTGACACACATCCAGGGGGTTCAGGGAAGAGAAGACTTGGGAGATCACAGAAGGACAGACTCCCGGGAGCTTCAGGGGTTTTGGTGGATGGTTTGGGGGATTTCAGAATTGCTGGGAGCCTCTAGGCTTTTGTTGGAGACGTAGTTATTCTGCAGGGATTGAGGAGTGCTCGCTATGAATCCTGCAGGCATCTTGGGGCTGAGGATCCACAGCTTCTGCCTCTGCCTCTGCCTCTGCAGAGCTCCGGTTCTGATGCAGGGAAGGACCCACAGCACGCGTGGCCTCATCCTTAGCGTGATTGAGGCGCACGGTGAAGAGAGAGGTTCTTTGCTTCCAGGAGCTGGGCCATCCCTCATCTCCCTCCCACACCGATGCAACCTCCACGTGAAAACCTGCCACTCAGGTTCTACACCATCCATGCTCTGAGGGAGAAAAAGACACAGATAGATTTGGAAGGTGGCGGTGGTGATGTGGTAGTGTGGGGTGGTAACAGGTAAGTGATGAAATATTACTTGTGCAGTTGGCTAAAGCACAGCTTTAGAATGTCACATAGGATGTGTGTGCACATGCAGACATGGAGTGTGTAGCTGATCACATACACAGAAGACAGGGACACACACACACACACAGAGTTTGCCTTGTGTTATTCAGATGGGAGCTATGTGGTGGTCACATGGTGACGTGACAAGGAAGGACAGCCCCCACAGACAGTGTGGTCCTGCAGCCCGTGCTGTGGGAGTGGTGTTCCCCACCTGGCCTTTGGGCTCCTGCATGCCTGACTGCTGGAAGCTGTGCCTAACCTAGGTCCTTGCCCCTCATGAGCCCTGCCCTCCCTCTGTCCCTTCGCCTGTCCCAGCCTCTCTGGAGACCTTGACTAAAGGCTGTCCTGCTCCCCAAATGCAAAACAACCAGTCCTGATCCCCATGCCCCGTGGACTCCCTGCCTGTGGAAGAGTGAAGCGGTGTCCCCACGTGGCAGCCCCGCGCATGTCCAGGCTGCCTGGGGACTCTTGTTAGTCACCATTCTAATCAGGCCGACCCCACACATGTTAGGCCCATGACAATTTAATTATTTCAAATGTAATCATTGGTCCCACACTGGTTGTGCCAGACCAAAAGCCAGGCTCTCTCTCCCAAAATTCCCCTCTGTCCAAACTGTGACAGTCGCAGAATATCTCTTGTGTGGGCACCATCAGGTGGCAGAAAGCCTGTGTTTTTTCTGAGTGTGAGGAACACAGGATGCAGCCCTGAGCAGTTGAGATGTGCATGGATGTCTTGTTCAAGCTGA